AGCGCGTTTAGTGCAGCTAAGTTCCTTGGCCCCAACAACTTGCGACGCCTCTTAGTTCCGGGTATTGTCGCGGCTGGTAAGTGTTTAATTCGTACCGGATCCTTGAGCGCAAAACTAACTTGAAACAGCTGCTTTGACCGCTGCATATGTACTTTCTACAATTCCCACTACACTACCTCCTCGCCTCTCACGCAAGATCGCCGCTGCTCTTGAAGAGAAAGACTACGTACATTCGAACGCTACCCGGATCTCGACTGAAGTCCGGCGAGTTCTCCGTATCCCGGCCAATAATCTCCAGGCCAGTCTCGCCCAGGACATCGAAGACCTCGGAAGACGCAAGCAAGAAGTCAGCAAGACCAAGGTTGAAAGTGAGAATGCAAGCAAGTACTTCTCCAACCTCTTCCGGGAAAGTGGTGAGAACAGAAGGTCTGTAGAGAGTATAGACCTTGATGGCCCGCTGCCGGGTGCAATGGGTGCCCATGAGCCATGAGCCATGAGCTTTGAGCTTTGAATCTCCCTTGCGTTAAATGTACAAAAAGTAATGATTCTGTATGAGTTATCCGGCCGGCTGTGTCTCGAGGGTGCTAATTCTGCTTCGGTTCGCAAATATCCCTATCGTGTACAACAATTATTGTCCATCCATTTTTACCCCTTCTCCTCATTTATTTTTATTTCCCCCTTTTGTGGAGGTCGTGATTCACGTTGATAACCCTCCTGTTTACACTTGCATTGGCGTTTGAAGAACTCAGCGTATTGGACTCCCACTGCAATTGATGCTTTTATTTAAACCTGTAGGTAGCCACCTATCTACACAGTTGATTGTTATTGCAGAGAACTTGTCATCTTTCCTGATCCAAGGTATTCTAGAATAAATGATAATAGATGGTATCAACGAGAAATTCCAAGATAGATTCATCCGTAACTCCCAGCAATGACCAGAGACGCCATTTCGATGCTATCTATGCCAGGCCAAAACCATCGTTAGGAACGTGAGCATACATCCCAGACAAATGTTTCCGACAAGATCTAAAAAGTATTATCCTCTGCAACCTTGCCCGCATTTCTTGTCCTCCGACCAGACCCCCAACCCACGTTTTCTAGCTCCTTAATTTCGCCCACAATTGGGTCCTGATTAGCAGGGTTCTTATCGACGAGTTTACCTGCCTGATGGAGAAACTTCTCACGCATTGCGACGGCATCCGGATCTTCGTAGTTCAATTGCGTCATTGGAGGCGGTGTTTCAGACTCCTCTTCTTCATTAATACGGTCTCCTTCGAGGAAATCGAATCTTCCGCTGTTCACAAGGGAGGTAATTCCATCTGTGTTGATGCTATCTATCGCACTTCCGCACCCATCCTCGTTTAGAGTATCGATTGAGCTCGCGCGAGAGAAACCTTTATGTTCGTTAGAGCGGACGGAGGCATGAGAGGGCGCTCTTCCAAGAAGTGGTTTTCTGCGCCTTGAACGAGGGCGGTCGCCGTTCTCTCCTGCGTCTGATGCGGAGCGCGAGTTCGCTGCTCGTGCCTGCTGGAGGAATCCGCTCAGCGTTGTTTCGATGGCTGATAGGGAGGTTGGATGTATTGCTTGTTCTGAGGATGGGCGTTTTCGTGGCGATACGTATGGTGTGTGTTGTTGGCTTGGTTCTTTTGTGGGGGATTCCCGTATGGTGGGTTCTTTTTGTAGGATTCCGGAGTTTTCTTGTAGGGGTGTTAAATGGCGCGAAGGAACTTTGTCTGTTTCCTTTGATGTTTGTCTAATGAGTTTGTTGTTCTGGGGGTGCACTGTGTGGGTCTGAGACTTGGTTGCGTTATTGCGTTTGTTAAGCTCCTGGGACTGTTCCCTCTGATCCGGGAGAGATTCAGCTCGCTTTTCCGAGTCTCGACTACTCTGTGAGGTTGGCCTTCGAATCAGAAAAGGTTCGAATGGCTGTTTCTGTGCTTTTTGAACGGAGCTCCATAACCAATCGACGGTGACTGCGGGAACGTTCCATTCATGCGTATGCCGTAGCTTCTCTTGATTTGCGGAACTAGGATCATTACATAACAAGACAGATGCAGTTGGTGTCAGGTATTCATTATAGGTTGCACCTGGAATTATCAGTTCACGAAGAAGTCTTAGCATTGTAGTTCGAACTTACCAATCAGGCCTACAAGTTTTGATAGATGCAGAAGGTCGATACGAGAGACCCCTGTAGAGCAGATTTTCATACTGTCGAACCCTACTCTGGTTAGTCTGCACATTTATATGTGAACAAGGAATAAGACTTACCAGGGATAGGGAAACGAGGAATTGGGGTGTTTGCGATGTGGGATTCTGGGGGTACCAGAGTTTTGGCATCAAGGCATCTTTCCAACCACATATCGGTTACAACTTCACATTCGAATGCTAGGTCATCGGTGGATGGAACCTGGGCTCGAGGCATTTTGTAGGGAACAATCGTGTAGAGACCATGGCCTCTCTTAGGAATGTCTGGCCGAGAGAATTCACTCAATGAGCCGACCAACTGGGCTCCATTGAACGAAAGGTGTTGGCGGAGGACATTCGTCTGTATCTTGGTCAGATGCAAGAATCAAAACGATTGCGCATACAGACATACCTGTTTTGATGAGAATCCATGGATGAAGAAATAACAACCGTCTAAAAAGCCATCGCGGTGGCTAGCCGCCTCTGAAACTTGTTGGCGAGGCCTCTGGAGCTTATCAACATTGCTTTGCTCCTGGGGTTCGGCAAAGGTAGTTTCACTAGCAAACGACTTGGCTTCTTGGACCATAGATGCGCGTTTGGCGAGTAACTGGCTATCATCTTTCTGCTGACTTCCTCTGGACCCGGTGCCTACGATGTCACCCCAGATCCCTTCGTTCTGGTCTACCAATTTGGCACTTGCGATGCGGCGCAACTTTCTAGGGCGAGGATTCAACGAGCCCTCGCTACCCAGATCTTTCTCCCGAGCAGCGGGCAGTGCGCGATTCCAGGCCCCCGCACCCTGCTGCTCTTCCGGCACAAGCGGGTGATACAATGTCTCCTCCAAAACCATTCCACGCTCTATACTGTCTGTGAACCATTTCACAGTAATGACCTTGATGTTCCATTGCGTCGCAAATTTATACTTCTGGCTCTCCGTATCTCGTGCGACAAGATGGGTGACTTGTTTCGTAAGATCTTTCCTAAATTCTGCTCCATGTGCAACGGCTGTGTCTTGGATATAGTTTCGGAATGCCACTAAGGGAAGAAAGTCTTAGTATACACCGAGATGGCGTAAGCATTGTGCGCTTCCACTTACTATCCTCGAAGCCGGTTATACATATGCACAATCCGGCGAACGTCGGGAATTTGTATTGTTCTTCCAGACCTCGGACATCTGTATCCTCTCCCTGCATCCATGATTGGCGGACCGCTTCTACCCACTCGGGCTTAAGAACAGTGACATCTGCTCGTTCTCGTGCGACAAATTTGTATTTCGCAGTATTGATCTCGCCAACAATTAGATGGGTAACATCGGAGGTTAGGTCAAGTTTGAGAGTCGCTCCCATCTGGCGTGCGATCGTAGCCAATTCAGTCTAGTTCCGAGGAACGTTGTCAGTTTTCGCGACCATTTACTGATACGAATATGGGAAGCAAAGTGAGAGCATCAAAGATATTTGTGAAAAATACACTAACCCGCTGTTCTGGTAGAATGGACGTGAAGCACAAGACCACCCCCGCAAGAGGATGCTCCTTGTCTGCCATATTATTAGTATAATGTCATATCGCCATAATATGAAGTGGACCCTATACGCACTTGAAGCACCTTTCTCTGCCATGCTTCATGATTGGCAGCGCATAAAAACAGCCTTAATCATTAATGGATTGATTTGATACTTCCGATGCCGCATTGGCGCGTTTTCGTGATGCGCTATCACGTGATTTAAGTACTTTATAGAAGGGCTAAACACACTGTACATGCATAGGTGTAAACCTGTGCTTTCTAAGCCAGAAAGTCTTCTTATTAGCAATTCAGACTATAGAAGCTGTTCTTAGCAACTGTTCTTTGTTTCTCTGATGTTGCTTTTGGCATCTTGGAATAAAAGTGAAATAATGAACTTGCCCTGTGTGATAGCCCTTATCGGGATCACGTGTGATATGCAGCGCGTCTCATTGTAGAACGCGGGTCGCGAAAGTCCTCAATCAATAGTATTGATTTCATAAAGTGATGTGCCACTGAATCATATTTCTCCAGTTTGCGTTCTTTGTATGTGTCTAACAGGAGTCTGGTTTTAATTCATCAAGTAATCTTACATGGTCCAAAATTAACATTGCAGGTTGCATGCAGATACTCGACTGCCCTGACAAGCGCCGGAAGGGACCGTAATGTTCAAGAAAGCTGTACAAGACCATTCAGGAGGATCTGCTAAACCTCTTCAGTCCAGCCTTCTTCGCAGCAATGGGATTCAACCACCGAAACCACCGCCGCAGTCAGTAGGGGTCAAACGAAAAATCGAAATGGCCAATGCTGGGGGATCTGCACTAGGATCTTTGCACAGCGCTGTATACTTTGATGAGAATGATTTCGATGATGATCTTGATTTGGATAGCGAGGAGCCAGAGCCGTTTATACCACCGCCAAAAATTGTGAGACCGAGCAATGAGCGACAGATCCCATTTCAAAGTACAAATTCAATTACCTTGGCGACGCACACGAACAAGCCGCCTCAAGTGTCGACGCCTGCGATGAAGAATGAAGACTTCGAGATAAAGTACCCCGAGTTGCCTCCAATTCCTGATGATCCGGTACCATCCAGCAGCATACCAGTTCCTTGGTCATCCTCACCACCATCTCACTTTCAGAAGCCTACCAGTTCTCGAACTCTACCGTGGCTTAAGAAAGAGGAGCCGGTGCCAGCACCAGCCATACAGTACAAGAAGCCAGAAACGCCTGCGCGTCCAAAGTCGACTGCCATATGGAACAAATCAGCAAGCGCAATCAAGGAGGAACAGAAGGAACTACGGCGACAGTATAAGAATCAGAAGACCGATTCTGTGCAACACCGCCCACGTCCTAAGATGGCGTCCTTATTCCTTAGTGATGAGCAGAAACACGTACTTAATGCCGTTGTTGAGCAAGGGAAGAGTATATTCTTCACCGGTTCCGCCGGAACTGGAAAATCCGTTCTCATGAGAGAAATTATTAAGAAACTTCGCGACAAGTACAGGAGAGAACCTGACAGAGTGGCAGTGACTGCTTCAACAGGTCTTGCCGCTTGTAACATCGAGGGTGTTACCCTCCACAGCTTTGCAGGGATAGGATTGGGCAAAGAGCCTGTTCCTGAGCTTGTTAAGAAGGTCACAATTTGCACCATGCCCTGTAGAAAGGTACTTATATTGACACATCACAGGTCAAGAAAAATCCCAAAGGGCGGAACCGTTGGCTACGTACAAAGGTTCTGATTATTGATGAAGTATCTATGGTTGACGGAGATCTCTTCGATAAGCTCGAGGAGCTTGCTCGAAAGATTAGAAACAATGGCCGTCCTTTCGGCGGTATTCAGCTTGTCGTTACAGGCGACTTCTTTCAATTGCCTCCGGTCCCTGATGGCAGCACTCGTGAGGCAAAATTTGCATTCTCTGCTGCTACCTGGAACACCTCTATACAACACACAATCCTCTTGACCACTGTTTTCCGTCAAGCAGATCCTGATTTCGCCAACATGCTCAATGAAATGAGACTTGGAAAGCTCAGTCCGCGTACAATCGATACCTTCAAACAACTATCACGGCCACTTGACTTTCATGATTCTCTTGAAGCTACGGAGCTGTAAGGTCATCCCATTAGAAGACTACACGGGAACTAACATGGAATCATTTAGGTTCCCAACACGTCAAGAAGTAGAGTATGCAAACAGTGCAAGAATGCAAAGATTGTCCGGCGAAGTGATGACTTTCAATGCCGCAGATTCGGGCACAATTCAAGACGTACAGTATCGTGAGAAACTGCTGACCAACTGCATGGCTCCACAGGTAATTCACCTCAAAAAAGGAGCACAAGTCATGCTCATTAAAAACATGGAAGATACGCTCGTCAATGGATCAATTGGACGAGTGGTAGCATTTATGGATGAGGCAACATTCGATTTCTATCGTGAGAATGAAAGCGACTTCGCTGGTGACCAGGGGGCCCAAAGCGATGAAGAGATGATGAATCGCTCCCGCAAGAAACTAAAGTCTCTTGCTCACAAAGAAGGGGGTGTCGTAGTGAGCAAAAAATGGCCTCTTGTCTGTTTTGTACAGCCGGATGGAACCGAAAGACATCTGCTTTGCCAACCAGAAACATGGAAGATCGAGCTTCCCAACGGAGAGGTTCAGGCTCAGCGTGCACAGGTTCCATTGATTCTGGCATGGGCTCTGTCTATCCACAAGGCTCAGGGTCAGACCTTGCAGCGAGTTAAAGTCGACCTTGGACGGGTTTTCGAAAAAGGTCAGGCCTACGTTGCTCTGAGTCGTGCAACCTCCAAGGAAGGCCTTCAAGTCACACGGTTCGATGCACGAAAGGTCATGGTACATCCCAAAGTCACCGAGTTTTACTCTAAACTCACCAGTATCACTGAGGTGCTCAAGCCGAAAGGCGGGCAACGGACTATTCCTGGTCATTACCCTGAAGACGACTTTGAAGATGATTATTTAGACTATCTATAAGGGTAAGAGATTTCACCCGCCATGTGGCATACACATAACACTTCTATTATTACCTTCTTCATCATCGCTATTCTACATCTACATATTGTTTAAAAGCTCATATCCTTGACGGGGAAGCATGTAAAACGATACCATTGTGGGTTTAAGTTTGATTACTGTTGATATCATGTGAGAGATGAAAGTCACATATACTAGCGCATGCACAATGACAGTTGAATTGAGACCAATCATATTGCTCACTAACCCTCCCTAGTTAGTAGACCTGCAAATCCCATTGAAGTATCCATAGTAACCTGGACCATAAGATTAAACATCCAATTCAATTGGAGGATCAAAACTTACCAACAGGAGGGCCTCGCCTCGTGGTAAGATTTGAAATATACCGAACTAAAGTAGGAACCTTGTAAGGCCACCCCACTTGGGCGCGCCTTCTTATCGATAAGATATTTAGCAATTCACGTGACGTCGGATAGAGCTGTAGCAACGAGCTGACAATTCATTTTGCGACGCTGTACTACAGGACCAACGTTTGTTCTACTTTTCCCCTGCTACCTTTCGCCAGTCTTTGGCATGCTTGTCAGATAGGCGATAGTTGGGTGATTGTATACTGAGTGATTATTCACCATGGCTTCCGAATTCATTGGATACAACGTTCTTGTGACGCTCAGAACTCCGCCTAATGCAACTGTCCAAGGCGTCGTGGCCAATGTCATAGGTCAACGTCTGATGCTGCGGGATGGTAAGTGAAGATAGTCCTATGCCGTTTTCTTGTATCAGTCTAATATGCAACTGCTAGTCGCACTTTCGTGGAGCCCCCAGAAATTTCCCACGTATTTCATTGAAGCTGCCGACATTGCCGACCTCTCTCTTGGACCGAACCCCAATGGGCCCTCGCATAATCAGCAGCCAGGCAGAGAGAGCCATAATATAGCCCATGCGCCCTCTGCGGTACCTGTACAACAACCATTTGTTGACCCGGCCATCTTAAGCTTCAGCAAACCATCTTCTGAGCAATTTATCCAGGGCGCAAGGCCAGGAGGGCCGCAGCTTCAACCCGCTCCGATCGACCGATTAAGCTCTCCAGCTTCTCAGAATATCCACCCCCCTCATCAGGTCCAGCGTGATCAGTCTGCAATCCTTACGGAACCATTCAGCAACTTGGAGCTGAATGTAGACGGCAGAGCAAATGAGCCTCACAATGCGTCTCAGGGAAATGAGTTGCATGGGTCTATTCCTGCAGGCAAGGATGAGTTTACAACTGCACAACGCTCTGCTGCCCAGGTCAACCTAAAGGGTGCTCGTCGCGTTGGTCAGAACAAGTCCCAGCGTTCAGGGTTAACGCCTGTTAATGAGCACGATGGTGCAGCGAATACAAACCCGAAGACCCGAGGGTGGCGTCAGACTGCCTTTGTAGAACCTGCCAGTCCACAAAAATACAGAGAAAGAGAGCCTAACTCACGGCGTCGGAAGAAGAAGAACCGCGGTTCTTATGCTGAGGATCCCAATGGTTGGGCAACAGAAGATGCCACCGACATTCAAGAACTGGGTGATTTCGATTTTCAAAGTAATCTCTCCAAATTCGACAAAAGAAGAGTCTTTGAGGAGATTAGAAATGACGACACCACGGCAGATGAAGCACGATTGGTTAGTTTTAATAGAAGGGTCCCCAAGCCGGGCACAAACGGCGGGAAGAATCTGCATTGGACTGAGAATGTGCTTGATAGTCCTCCGGGCAGTGAAACTGGAGACACTGACCAGGAGCCAAGCGACGCGAAACTGAGCAGCGGAAACTACTCAGGACGCGAGCTCTCAAGAGGGTCAGCACGAGCCCAGAGCCGCAAGGGAAGTGGCATTCTAGGACAACCCCTGGTACCTCCCCAGATCAACACTGTTGGGCGTGGCCAACTCAGCGCTTCTCGTACTACCAGTCCTCGACCTGGAAGTAAGGCTTCAGTTTCGGCATCGCCTATTAGCGGACCCGGCGTTCCTGGAGCCTCCTTGCGTCTCACTACCACGAATAGAAGTTGTCCGACTGTGAGCCCGCTACAAGCCCTCGAAGTCGAGCAAATTGCGGTCGCCGAACTTGGCCTGACTGAAGATATGATCACAGAAAACGCTGGGAGAAGCATTGCGGAAGCTGCCGTTGGCCTTTTGTCTAATGATGCCGCTGCGCCTACCATGCTTGTGTTGACCGGCAACCATCGTACTGGCGCAAGGGCCGTATCTGCTGCTCGTCACCTCCGTAACAGAGGACATCGTGTGACTGTCTGTATGCTTGGCATTGAGCACGAAAATGAATTACTCGAGAGCTGCCGCAAGCAGATTGATGTTTTCAAGAAGATCGGTGGACGTGTACACAGATGGGAAGATTTATCAACGCGACTTTCAACTTCTGAATTCAGTCCTGATCTAGTCCTAGATGCTCTATTCGGCATTCACATAGCCTTTGATGATCTCCGCACCGACGATCAAGCCGTGGCTTTTGAGATGATCGCCTGGGCCAACAGAAGCAACCTCGAAGTTCTGTCTGTTGATGTTCCTTCGGGCTTCTCAGCTTCGAGCGGTAAGTCTCTCCTACATCGATAGGCACCTTTTAGTACCCTTACTAACACAAGCCAACTACAGGTGAGGTGACTGTAATGGAGGGAGGCCGGGTGTGCGTCAGTTCCAAATCAGTAGTCTGCCTCGGAGCACCCAAGACGGGAATCATAAATGCACTGCTGGCTGGGGAGGGTCTTACTTGGAGCCTTTCCGTAGCAGACATCGGGATTCCTCAGATTGTATGGAGGAAATATGGGACACGTCGCCGGCACGGAATTGACTTTGGCAATCGCTGGGTGGTGCCTCTACGCTACCAACCATCCTCCGCTTGAGATTGCTCATGCGCGGTGGCCCCTGCCCTTTACTTCACGACTGAACAGCTTAATTTATGGCGTTATACGGGTTTTACTAAAAGAAATAGCGGGATTGATTCAGGGTATACCCCTTTTTGCAGTGTCAACGAAATGCATCATATCATGCTAGTCATAGCTGGTTCGCACTACGGCGAAATGATTTTAAGGAACGAGCGGATTGTATCATATGTGGTTTTTCCAAGGCCAATTCACTGCCTAGTAAAATAAAATACAGATCCATGGTTTTTTTTTTGATCCACTACCTAGCACCTAGCAGATGCCTATGTCAACCTGTATGTTAAATGGATCTATCCATCGGATGAACCTTGAATTATCCATCCTAGCCCGATTTGGTTAGATCCGTATCTAGGCCGAGAGCAATACATCATGTCTTGGGGCGCGGCCATCGGTTTGCGAAGATTCAGTCAGAATATCAACATAAAGCTTCATCACCGAGATGGGGAAAGGTTAGTTCAGTGAATTAGCATTCTGGGCTACTTGAAAATTTAATTTAATGCTAACAGACCCTTTGCCTGGTAGGGACGGACAAGCTTTACGTATGATACACCTCATTAAAGATTTGTTCTGCGCGGTCTAATAAGCTGGTTACTGATCGCAAAGCTCAAAACAGATCACACATTCTGAGTGGGCGTCGGGTGATGCGTACTCTGCGAGCGCCGGAGCAGGGGGAGGAAAAGGAGGAGACAACGCACCCTTCAAACGCCTTCCTTTCAATTTCTGCTCTCTCTCACTGCAGCCATTCACCCACCCGGTTTGCACGCATTCCGGGATAATTTTCGACCTCACCAACATCCTCCCTTGGATCAAGAAACATGGAAAGAACCCGGTAGACGGTACACCGCTGAAAAACTCCGACCTCATTAAGCTCAACATCGCGAAGAATGAATCGGGTGATTACGTCGACCCAGTAACCTATAAAGTCTTGACGGATAACACGCATATTGTCGCCTTGCGCAATACCGGAAATGTCTTCGCTTGGGATACCGTTGAGCGATTGAATATCAAGGGGAAGTTGTGGCGCGACCTCGTCACGGATGAGGAATTCGGACGCAAGGACATAATTACACTACAGGATCCACAGAATATCGAGTCGCGGAATCTCAGCTCCTTCAATTATTTGAAGGAAGGCGAAAGTGTGCCTAGACAGAAAGAGGAAGAGTCCAATGTCAATGCCAGCGCATTGGGAAGTTCCGCGAAGATCTTGAAGGCAAAGGAGGCTGTGGCAAAAGCCCGTTCGGAGAGAGCGCAGCGAGCTGGCTCTGCTGCTGTTGCCAAGAAGGTCGATGGTAGTACGAGTGCAAGTACTCAATCCAAAACGGCTTCGTTCCAATCTGGAAAACCTACACCATACAATGCAGCCAAGCATACTACGGGTCTGGCTGCGGCATCCTTCACGAGTACTGGTTTAACTCCACATACCTCTGCCGAGCTCGCGCTTCTTTCTGATGAGGAATACATGTTAAAACGGGGACGTGTAAAGCAAAAGGGTTATGCTCGAATCTCAACCACATCCGGTGATATTAACTTGGAGCTACAGACGGAATACGCGCCAAAGGCCGTGTGGAACTTCATCAAATTGGCTAAAAAGGGATATTATAAAGATGTCACTTTCCATCGCAATATTAAGGGCTTCATGATCCAGGGCGGAGATCCCTCGGGTACTGGCCGGGGTGGTGAAAGTATCTGGGGTAAATACTTCAATGATGAATTCGAGGGACCCTTGAAACATGATTCCAGAGGGACTCTCAGCATGGCCAATAAAGGCAAGAACACGAATAGTAGTCAGTTGTAAGTGTTCCTCTCTTGCCAAGTGTTTGCCTCTTTTTTGACCCCCACACTATGTCGGTAATTTGATCGAGACGGCATGTGCTAACTTTGTTCTACTAGCTTTATTGCGTACCGTGCTCTCCCACACTTGAACAACAAGCATACTATTTTCGGTCATGTAATCGACGATCCGACTCCTTCGTCCACAACCCTAAACAAGCTGGAAACGCACCCGGTCAATGCGTCAACTAACAGACCTACCCCAGACATTCGCATCACAGATGTCACCATATTTGTGGACCCCTTTGAGGAGTTTTTGAATCAGAAAAAGGCGGAAGAGACGTCAGGGAAGAATAAAACAGCCGATTCAACAGAAGAAGACGGGACAACTCAGCAGGAAGATGACGACCAGGTTACCTGGACAGGCAAAAGAGTGCGGGGCCCAGGCTCTTCAGGGGCTGGCGGTGATGCTTCGAGCGGAGTCGGAAAGTATTTGAAGGCTGCGTTGGCCAATCAAGCCGCTCAAGAGGAGGATGAAATCGTGGAATTTGTAGACGAGGAGCCAGAGCCCGAGCCGATGCGGAAGAAGTTCAAAAGCAGGGGAGGGTTTGGCGATTTCAGTTCGTGGGATTGAAAGTCTCCCTGTCGATGCTATGTATCTCGTACTGTAGGTACCTATGACTAAGATCATGATATGTCTATACAGCACAGTGTCCGGGATTCGTCCCCGAATATTTCTATATGAGTGTATGAATAAGTTGCAGGATGCTCACATTACACGGAGTTTTTCGCTCAATACGGTAGGGCGTCCTGTGCTCATGTTTACGCTCTCTGTGATATGGTCAATGCTTCTATGACCTACGGGTTACAAATTCTTCGCCATATCGGTTACAAGGTAAGTCGTCAGTTATATATACTACTATACATCTGTACACAAGTCAGTACTAGTAGAATGGTACAATACGAGAAAACAGTCAATAAATACGAACTAGTAGGAAAACCAAGGCACACTAGTTAGACGATATAACATACCATATCAGATCATATCGTATAGATTGGCATCTTATGATCCTTGACCCCTACTTAGTCCCAGGGGGAAAAAAGCAAACGGTTTGCCTCACTACTGTAAGTGATGCTGCTTTGGGGGATCCACAGGTCCCATTCCGTCCTCAACTAATAAAATAGTCTGGGCGGTCTTCCGCTCTTCCGGCACTGGCGTTCGACCGCCTGCGTGATTAGTTAAAACTCTTCCCCGACCTGGGTTTAGCGCGAAGGACGGGAGTGGGAAAGTAGCCTGAGTGCCAGCCTGCCAGGTGCTTTCCCAGCAATGATGAACAAACTACTAACTACTAACTACTAATAATAAATGCCATCGATCCCACCTCTAACCAACCCGCGCTCGCCGTACTTCAACCCGGAGTACTTCACCACTTTTACATCCAGAAACCTTGGAGCTTTGATTTCTATCTGATTGTCTTCCTCGTGAGTGCTATTTAATTCCTACCCAAATCCCGCCCAGTGGCTTAGCACACTGTTGTTTCTATGTGTCGCTGCGCAGTGGGGTTGATCATGATGTGCCCCCATGGTGCCTCATCCAAGGTGACAAGTCAGTTTCAGTTGGATAGTGTGACTTGTGATGATCCCTTCAAATCCATACCTATTTCCTACTAGTCACTGTTTTTTCGCGATGTGTTTTGGTATGTGCGGTAGAGAAGGGCCGCTATATGTCATGGACCTGTTGCTTTCCGACCACGCAGACGCCCAGACATTCGTCATCTGATACAACTGCTTCTTAAATATCACCTGAGTTTTTGAAACCATTACCTTTCAACCTACTTAAGTTGGAAGCCAGTTTTAGTAGACTCAGTCACTGACAGTCTCCTTATTTTTTCTTGTTCAGCTCTTTCCCCTCGCTTCCGCCGCAATTCCTACCCTCCTACGTCAGGCGTTGCCAGATTTCGCATTTCGCCTTCCACCGCCGCCGCCCTCTCCGCTCCAACTTTGGTCTGGTTTAATACCACAGTCCCATACCTACAATCAAGCTGGCAGGGAATAAGCGGAGAAGTTTTTCGAGCCAGGGTGGGTTGCTGAACAGAATGTTCAGTGGCTCCTCGAGCCCACCCAAAGACAAAGCAAATTCAGTTCCACATTCCGGTGCAGTCGATACACAATCTCTGAGTGTACATCCCGAGGAAGGCGCTGTAACCCATACCAGCAAGTCTTTGCCATCCGGTGGTTTCTTTACGAGAAGGACTAGCGAAGACCAGGGCCCTACCGGGGAGAAGAAGCGCCGGAGTAGCACAGTCACGAAAGCGGCGACGTTTTTCACCAACGCTAAGAATTCACTGAGTTTGAGTAGCAGTCCTCGTGAATCTTCGTCGTTCAATTATACGGTTCGGTCTCCGCAAACGTTGCAGTCACTTGGGAGCATGGACCCGGCATTGAGTGTCCCACAAGGGTCATTGAACAATTCGGCTGGTGATTCGCTACCAACTCCTCGCTCATCGTTCAAAGTTGGTGTCACAGAAGACCGGAATCGAAAATGTCGCCGGACTATGGAAGATACCCATGCATATCTTTACAACTTTTTGGGGACCCCCGCACCATTAGCCCGGGCTGATGGCGAGAACGAGACTGGTTCTTCCCTCGCACCCGATGAAGCGTCTAGTGTTGTTGAAACCGACAATGGGTACTTCGCCATTTTCGATGGGCATGCCGGCACGTTCGCTGCTGAATGGTGTGGGAAGAAATTACATCTGATCCTAGAGGATATAATGAAGAAGAACCCCAATACGCCCGTTCCGGAACTTCTCGACCAAACATTTACTAGTGTTGATCAGCAGTTAGAGAAGCTACCTGTGAAGAACAGTGGGTGTACTGCTGTCATTGCCCTTCTTCGATGGGAGGACCGGATCCCCAGTTCGCATTCGGCAACCGGTTCTTCCGCACTTGCTCCCGCAGCAGCCGCAGCCGCGAAGGGCGATTCCAATTCAGAGGCCGATGATACTCCCACCCAAACAACTAGTACTGGCCCGTCAATCCTACCCAAACTGCAAGAGAAAGCTATACGGCAACGTGTCTTGTATACGGCTAATGTTGGTGATGCTCGTATAATCCTATGTCGCAACGGCAAGGCGCTCCGGTTGTCCTACGATCACAAAGGTAGTGACGAAAATGAAGGCAAGAGGATAGCAAACGCTGGGGGCTTGATACTTAATAATAGAGTAAATGGTGTTCTCGCAGTGACCAGAGCTCTGGGTGATGCCTATCTCAAGGATCTCGTCACTGGACACCCCTATACTACGGAGACCGTGGTTCAACCGGACTCTGACGAATTTATCATATTGGCCTGCGACGGGGTAAGTGATGACTTTCGTGTTTTCCTATGAATGTCGCTAATGATCATGATTAGCTGTGGGATGTCTGTACTGATCAGGAAGCTGTGGATCTTGTTCGAAATGTTCCAGACGCTCAGGAAGCATCTAAGATCCTGGTCGACTATGCTCTTGCACGGTTTAGTACCGATAACCTTTCTTGCATGGTTATCCGACTCGATACGGATCGTGTCAAAGAGGTTATCAACAAGACAGCTGACCCAATCGGTGTGGCTGGCGATCCATCCATGGATGTCGAGCACGGCGTGAGCGAAGCAGACAAGATCATCGAGAGTGCAAGAAAGAGCATGGCCAATGCAGACATTGCAGACGATAATGAAACGGCTGAGAAGGGCAAAGGTGCAAATCTGCAAAAAATGGTCGATGGCGAACCCGGGCCAGAGATATCAATGGATGATCCTATTGATGCACCAACCGTCAGTCACTTGAACAAGACGGGTGCGAATGACGAAAATCCCTAAGCGTCGGGTAGCAACACCTGCGAGACTGACCTTGTGTCAGAAAGGGAGGGGGGAGGAAAGATTTGAACTACGTCCATATCTCGGCCCAGACAATGAATTTGCATCTTTGTTTCTTTGTTACCTTCTCTTTTCTGTCCTTGTTCACTTCAACAACTTACTGGCGTCGATCGCAGTCTAGGGACGTGGGACCTCTGGTAGCCCACGGTCACCGGTATCATCTTCTTTTCCTGCCGTTTTAGACCCAAACATGTGGGTTTTTCCAATTCTTCTTTTTTCTGGTTTTGCACTCTTCTATTTCCTCATCTACTTATAGAGGTACTCATCCTCTGCTTTTATGCCATTAGCCGAAGAAAGCGGTGCCAACCCGGTTCTACGTGTTCTACCTCCTCGGACAATGACTGACTGCTACTCCTGTATTGGTACATAACGCTGTAAATCTGAACCTCAAATTTGAAATCAAGAGAAATTAATATGGGTCTTCATAGATAGTTGGAGCTACAGCTAATGTTCCACCATATATATATTTTAACTAGGCGGAGAAGTAGTAATAAATTGACAATTTGCTAAACGCCATTGCATCATCTAAAAATACAAATCTGTATATGCGAAGAACGAATACATCTTTCCAATGTAATATCCACACAAGTTTCCATCAGTATTCAATACACGCCCTCTATAGCCCTTAGGCCTTCTGCTCCGGCTGCTTCTCCTTAAACGTCTCATCAGCAAGAACCTCCACACCGTAGTTAGGCTTCTGTCCTGGCATAACATGGCCGCGGGTCAGGTCGAGTTCACCGTGGCGGACACGCTCAGGCCAAGATTCGGCGAAACGAGCATCGTGAATATCAGTCCAGAGGATCTTGACGCCGTTGCTTTCCAGGCCGTTTGTGCTTTCAGGCTCCTGGACCTTGTATTCGACTTCGGGTGTGCTCAAGGTCTTTTCCAGCTCAGCCACACGCTCAGCCTGCTCCGCGGCCTTAGCTGTTTCCTTCGCACGAGCCTCCCTGCGGCGCCGTCTAGCAGTGCGAGTGAGGTATCCCCTTTTGCCATCAGCGAAGCCATTCGCGATCTCTTCCTCCTGGATGGCAAGAACGGCAGACACATCGGCAACACTGGTGGCCTTCTGGTCCATTAAAGCACGAGCGCGGTGTTTTTTCTCCATCAGCCAGCCAACCTTGTCTGCATACTTCTCGTCGAACTTCTTGGCTCCTTCGGGGTCTTTGGGCCGCTTCTGATCCAGGAACCTTTCACTGATGGTGATCATCTCACGAGGTGGGGCGAGTTGGCGCTGCATGGCAAATTCGCGGAGAAGATGGTAGGCACGGAGGCCAACCTTGGGTTCGTTGAAATGGACGGAGTAGTAAGGCACCCACATGTCCTTTCGGAGCGTAGCGGGGACGGTCTTTTTGCCATGGTATACTAGCTGCCGGAGGACATTGTTTTTCTAGGGAAATATACACCTTAGAATCTGCTCCTGTGGGATTAAAGAACGGGCACTATAATGAAAATGGTAGTCTTACCTCCAAATACCGCGTCAATGAGTAGACAACCTGGTTGGTGCGCATGTTATGATAGACGAAGATGTTCTTCCCGTGCGTAATGGCATTGATGGCCTTTCGTAACCGGACTCCCTCCTTCCACTGATGTGTCTTGAAAGCATTCGAGTTCTGTTCCCGCGCTTTTCCCTGGATCACGCTATGGTTCTCGACTGGCGGGCGACGGACGACGTTCCATGTCCCGATTTTGGTCGGGTCCAGGATCTTCTGGAACGGCTTGGTGACGGACTGCGAGGCCATTGCGGCCAGAAACGCACTGCTGCGTCTCTCTTATTGATCGAGCTTGAGGTTAAGTTGAGTAGAGTGTTCCCCCCTCTAGTGCATAGCGATTCGGGGAAAGGTGAGGTGAAGTGTGGTGAGGTTGATGGAGTGTCGGAAGCTGGAAAGTGAGACCGCGCGGATCAATTTTTCGACGGGGAGACCAAACCCGACCAAACCAAATGGGCCAACCCTCCCGTCACCTCCGCAGAGCAATGGATGCTTGTGTTTAAGCTCCCCATCATTCTTAATGAGCATTCGAGTTTAGCGCACATCTCATCCTTGTTATACTTTAATTTCTGAATTTACTTACACTCCATGTTATACTTTGGAGCTGCACCTATAATGATTGCGCACATCAACTAAACAATCAAACTGCCGCAATGTCGCTGACTATTACCTCGGAGGGCATAGGCCATGATGATGCTGGTAATCGTCGCGAGAGATCTTGGCTGTTCCCATCGGTAATTTCATCCTACAGTAGAATATCTGCCAATTGGTCTGGGGGTAAGCTGATAGGCTTGTTTTCTAGAATCGCAAGCTCCGCCATCTACAAGGCATCTCGATTCGTAATCTTGTTGTTGACCCCCCGAGCAGGACTCGGGGGAAAACTATTGATGACGAAGATATTCCCAACTCGTTCCAATCGCCGTCGAAGATCCTTGCACAGGATGCGAGTCGCCCCCTGAATCACTCGCGCTCGTTCACAAATCTCAAATCCGTCAAGGCAGCCGGCGATAAGTGTATTAGTCGCGAGCCGCCACCCCGGCGACAGCCACAACAAAGGCGAAACACCTTACCTTGGAGCGATCCCAACCCGCGTGCTAGACAAGTGAAATTGGAGGATATCACGAGGAGTCGAATGGCAGATACCTGGTTCTCCATGCATTGCGACAAGATCGAAGAACCGGTGTATGTGAGCGAGATCGTGAAGGATGCAACGAACCCAAGCTTCCGTTCCTTCGACCTGAACATGTGCGGGCCCTTAGTCTCGCGATCGGATAGCTTCACCCTCAAATTATGGGCGAAGACGACCGCTATGGAAGAGTACATGCTGTTGGTGGAATTGCAGTTACATCTACAATCCCTACAGTTTCTAGGAAAGTCGTTGGATAGCTTCCACCAACCGCTACCGTCAAACTCAGTTCTTTGCCATTTTGCGGACGGCGTTTATGGGAATCTGACGGATCTTCCACCAGTTTGGGTGCCTTTGCCTGCAAAAGCATCCAAAACTTCCGATAGGAATGCGCTGTCGACTTCATCCTACGACGCACTGATGCGGCTGGCAAACCTGGATGAGTGCATTCAAGACGCACTTATCACTAGGGAGAAGCTGGAGGCTCAAATAAGTTCAATTCTGGAGAGGAACCAGAAAGCTTTAGCCGTGACTAGCGAGGTTTCGCGAGCTCGGGATAAAGTTACGCTGACGAAACAGGCGGCTGTGTCTGAGAGGAAACAACTTCGCCTGACTAGGAAACGTAAGGAAGAACTGGTCGCCAGTTTACGCGCGAGGAAGGAGGCTATGGCGCGTGGGCGCCAGACGCAAGAAAGAGCTCGTAGTCATCTGCCCGATGCGCAGGAGAAGCTGCACTCCAGTGCTAAATTACTGGAAAAAGAGACAGAAGACTCCAAGGGCCAAATTCGGCGCATCTCAGAGGATCTACTGGCAATCTACCCTATTGAGCCGATCCCCGACAAACCGCTCGCGTTCACAATAGCGGGCCTTGCCTTGCCGAACTCGAACTTCACCGATATTCATCGGGACGCTGTTGCGGCCGCACTGGGATATACTGCACATTTGGTTTATTTACTGTCCTTCTATCTATCCGTGTCCATACCCTATCCGATCAATCCGTATCTGTCCAACTCGCAGATCCAGGACCCGGTTTCCGTCTCGCTTCCACAACGAACATACCCACTGTACCCGGTCAACGTCCATTACCGGTTCGAATATGGGGTGTTTCTGTTGAATAAGAACATTGAGTTTCTGCTGACTAAGCGGGGCCTTCGGGTGCTGGACATTCGACAAACTCTCCCCAACTTGAAGTATCTGCTGTACGTGCTCACGGCGGGGACAGCAGAAATCCCCGCACGGAAGGCTGGGGGAATTCGAGGCCTGCTACCGGGCCGGTTGACCCCCAGCATGTCGAGACGCGGGAGCGAAGACAGCGTTGCATACAGCGAATCCAACTTACCCCGGAAAATGATGAGTTCGTTGGTGAAATCCAATGGGGACGTCGCGCTTGACAAGGGGAAGAAAAATATCCCTGTCTTGAACACGACGTCAGCCTCTCAGGTGGCCTAAACCCGGTCCAGTCCCTCGTGGTGGTTCTGGATCTGCGTAAAGGGGGCTTATCTTGCTGACCCCTAGCGTCTCCGCCGTGATGATTTTTACGATCAGTAAATTTTTCTCTTTCTCGATCTTGTTTAATTACGATGTGGGTGGAATTTACTGTGCATCTGTAGCATTTGGGATGGGTTGATATCCCATATTTTAAGCATTTCCATTTGTATAGTATCTGTGGTCGATTTTGCTGCGTTCTCAAATAGAGGGAGACATACAACGGGATGCAAAAGCACCAAGAAAAATAAAACCTCGACTGGCGGGAACGCGAACCGACGGTGTCGAGTCTAATGGGGATTACTATTGATAACAGATATCACTGTTCAGGGAATTCATTGCAAATATAATTAAATTTGACGTTCGGCTACCCCGCATTTCCTTCCCCATTTATCGACTTTCCGTGGATACTGTGATTTTCTTCCAAATTCCATTTCCAATTGCAAACTTGTCGGTCTGACTGACTCTTGCAATGGTTTGAAGGAAGACCACCCGTTCTTTGTTGTGCGAATACCGAAGGAAATTCCAATCCTGCCCATGGGAGAAAAAGGCGTGTCGTCGTGCCTGATAAATACCCGCGAACCCCACCGCTTTCTAACGGAGCCCTCGCTTTGCATCGGCTTTCTCCAACTCCCAACCTGACCATAATCCACTTTGTGCGCCGGCAAAGGGCGGCACTACTGGAGGATTGGAGAACATGATGGCAGCAAGCAATGCACAACCCGACACTGGTCTCTATACCCAAAACAGCCAGAATCAGAAATCCCCGTCGCCCCAGGCCCAGCATCGCCGCGGTTATCAGGCATGCGACCCTTGTCGGAAACGCAAGGTGAAGTGTGATCTTGGCAGTAAGCGCAGTCCTCACATCGCAATCATACGATGCCCCTAGTCCCTTAATTCAGTAGAGTTATGACCTCTGACAGGCGTCGTAGGTGTCGACAATCCCCGTCCTCCACCCTGTGTACGATGTCGTCGCGAGAGCAAGCGCTGCGAGTTCTCCGCCACCCGGCGCAAGCGCAAACCCTCGGAAGTCGAGGAGACCGTAGATGGCGTACTCCGACGCGATAAGAGGATGATGATCGGGGATCCCGCATCAAATGATTCTCATAGTGATGCATCGTCGTCCTATGCACAGCCTGAGCCGGCGTCGTTTGAGAGCAATAGTGCCATTCCACAGCAGAAGTGGTCGTCCGAGCGATCACCGACGGTCGCCTCTCAGGTACCCCAGCCTACTACCAGCAGCCATCAATTCACGTCCAACACCCCTTCATCTACCACACACTTCCCCGATGCACGGAATACTCGATTGGTATACCCCTTGGGGGACCGAGCAACCAGTTTTAGTCTTGACGGCGGGCAAACCATGATGAATCGTACCGCGGTCGAGTTGCTGTCACCTGCAATCAGTAACAGTCACGATGCGTTACATCTGTTGTCCGAGGCTGCAGGCCGGACGGAAGATCTCAACCGTCAAAGTCTTGAAAATCGTTACGCAGCTCGGCAGTCTGTCTCGTCGTTCAACTCACCCATGTCACCCCTTACCCAGGTTGGCACACCCCGAAGCGCAGGAGGCTCTTTCTCCAGACCAGCTCGGTCTGGAGTGCAGATGAATAACTATTTTCCAACGACTGGATCGAACTCGGTAGATCATCAAGCCTCTGATGGCCGTGGCCAGTCAGGTCCTTCGGAAAGTCTTCAAGACCCAGGCTTTACGGATGCTGTCAAGGCCTGGTCACGATTGCGTTTCGTCCGTGCTGGTTGGCTTTCAGTCGAGGAAGCCATGGCTTATGTTGCATAGTATGTTACTTTCTTTCTTTCATATCATCGCTCGCTGACTTGGGTAGTTACTACAAAAATCTGGCTAATTTGAGCCCAATCGTCATCCCTGATTTCTCTCACCCTTCTACCCATCGTACTTTGCTCACCGACGAGCCCGTGCTGGCTGTTACGCTTCTTACAACAGCATCACGACATATGAAACCCAAGGGAGACGGAGCATATACCCGTTCCTTTTACATCCATGACCGGCTCTGGTCGTATCTACGTGGAATGATTGAGCGTCTCTTTTGGGGTCAAGAGAAGTTCGGTGGGGATAGCATGGGAATCAGCAAACCACGCTCGTTCGACCTAGCGCCCACATCGGCGAAAGTGAATCTCAAGGGCAATCTGCGATCGCTAGGAACTATAGAAGCTCTATTGCTGCTAACAGACTGGCATCCACGGAATTTACATTTCCCTCCTGGTGACGACGAGAACACACTACTGGACTTGGATGCCCAGACGCGGCCCGAAAAGGATTCAGAAATGGACGCCGACAATATCCTGAATCGTAACCAGAACACCTCGGCAGAAGGCCGACTTGCTTTTCAGAAGTGGCTGGAACCTGCTTGGCGGTCCGATCGAATGTCTTGGATGCTACTTAGCACAGCACAAGCCTTAGCATTCGAGCTGGGGGTGTTCGATCAGAAGAACGACGAGAAGGCGGCGAGCGAATATCCAGCTGAGCACACACGAAAAAGGCGGCTTCGTCGCCTTATCCTTGTGTACAACACGCAGAGCAGTGGCCGCATTGGTATTCCGTCGATGCTTCCTCTCCCACAATACGCCAACGACATCCAACCGACGAATGTAGCCAATGTTAAAGGTGGCGATGCGAACATTGACAAAATGCACGATTGTTGGATCGGAATTACCAAGATTATGTACCAGAGTAACCAACTACTGTTCGCCTCCAACGAACAAACATCAGAGTTGATCCGCAGTGGTCGATATCGAGACCAGATTGATAGATTCCAGCCATTTTTGCGTGAATGGCGTCAGAACATTGACACTCTTGATCGTAAGTTTCTATTATTTGGTTCATGGGTCAACGCTGACAATCCCAGTTGCACCTCCAATGAGGATGCTCTTGATGATTGAGTATGAATATACTCGTAAGTTGCTCTTCTAACCTGTGCTGTGCTGAAGACTGACATCCCCCAGGATTATATGTCAATTCCCTGGCTCTACAGGCTGTAGTTGACCGGTGGACAACCATGTCGAACGAAGCCGCCCAAAATACAAGGCCAGGATCTGGGGCAACTTCAGCCAATAGCTGGTTCAACGTGCTCATGGAGTTGTACCGTGTCAATGAACAGTATATTCAAGAGGTTGTGGATGCGTCGCGCAGAATTCTGCAGACCGTACTGGAGGAGCTTATTCCTGGAGATCACCTCAAGCATGCACCTGTCAGGACCTACTTCCGAATCTTGTCTGGGATGATTTTTATTCTCAAGGTATGCCTTATCGTCTACAGGGTTTATGCCATATTGACTAACGAAATAGACATTCACTCTTGGTGCGAGAGAAGACGACGTTCGTGTCTCCTTGGACCTCCAGGACCGAACCGTTGAAGCATTACGGACACATGTAGTAGACGATGTCCACCTGAGTCACGCCATCGCCCGACTGCTAGAGCTGCTCACGACCAGCATTCGTACTCGATTCTTGCGATTCGCGCCGATGGACCGTGGCAACGACGGCGAGCACGACCGCGCGTCTGCACCAACCTCCCGAGCCCAATCACCCCGTCTGCGCGAAAACCGGCGAGACGGCACGAGCAATGGCTGGACACCAGCGCAAAACTCGACGAATAATTTGGGCTATGTTGACAGTAATGGTCACTCGACCGGCACTCCGATGACTTCGGTACATGACCCACTGGCTGGAATCCCGGCACAGCCGATCAACTCGTCCAACATTAACGTTTCATTCATGCCCCCACCGCCATCCGTGTATCACAACTACTATGACCCGAATGCAACGCCCCCCGCGGGAGACCTGGACGGCACGAACGTTCCGTCGCAGTCAATGCAGGACTCTGGCGGACTCCCAGACTGGTTTGCCCTGCCGCTCGACCAATTCTTCAACAGCTCCACCCTAGTGGATCAGGGTCTAGGGGGCACAGGACCCATGGTGGGCGAATTCGACATGCTCGAAGTCCTCCTGAACGAACAGTACGACGGACACGCTGACAATCTTGAGTCCACCGGCGGTGGCACCATTCCGTCTCAATTTTTACAGTCATCGTAAACAACATGAAATCACGGCAGATATCGACCCCCTACCCCCAGTCACATAGGAATTGCGATTGTGCAATGGATTAAAGGAGATAAATACCCTAATGTACAAATGAACGTTATGATATCATCAATCAATCATTGTCAATTAATTACATATATCAAAAATTCAATTCCCCGGCAGTTACTTCCCCTTGACAAGTCCAACGTCAAAAACTAAGTACAAAACGATTTGTAAAACAATCAAACTAAAACAAAAAAACCTCACATAAACTACCCTCTCCCTCCCTACTCTAAGCATCCAGACCCACAACATAAAATCCTCCACAAATCCACCCAACAATCCCTGCCGAATAAAAATCATGACAAAACCCCATGAGCCAAAAAAAAAAAAAGGAGAGAAAGAAAGGCAAGGAAAGGAAGGTAAAAAAGAAAAAAAACATGGAAGTACAATCCGAACCTACCAGGAACATCCGCTTAGTCAACCGTTCCCACCACGTTTTCACCCTTATCTGACGGCTCGGAGATCGGCCGGCGATTTGCCGTTACATTTACTAAATGTTAATCTGAGAGTGGGGATTGATTTGCGTTTGGTTGATGACATATGATTCGATGATTTATGGCGTGGGGGGGTTTTTTTTTGTTTGTTATTTGAGTAGGAGATTCAGGGTACTAGTAGGGAGTACGTTTTTTTTTGGATTTAGCTATGTTGGGAGTTGTTTGGGGGACTTGTGTTGCTTTCTTATGCGTGAGGGGTGTTCGGGAATGTGGTGGAGATGTGGTGATCATGATGTTGAGGAGTGTCCTTTGTATGTCTTTGTTTCAGAAATATAGATTGAGTTATGTCATTGATCTTGGACGTGTAAGGGCTGAGAATAGAGTTTTGGTGAATTATATCTGAAACGGGACCTGTTTGAGATTTAGTGCAATTGCATGGCAGTATCCCTGTTCCTGTCTACTACCTAGTACTTTTGTATCCATGGATGAGGTAGTGTGTATCAGAGGATGAATTGCGTTATGTAATTGAAAGCTGGCCCTCTCGTGTAACGATCGACGTGGTCATATGTACAGGTGAAAGAAGACAGTCGCAATCATCCATCAACATGTGCCCGCATTCCAAACCATCTCTCATAAATCAACGTCGCCATATACAAGAAGAAAATAGATACATCGGTAGATCAAATTACTCATCTCCAACAAATTAAGCCAGATCGCCCGCTAGGGGGTTGGCTCATTAGAGTTAGGCTGTGCAGTAGAGCACGGAGCCCGCATTAGTTGGGCATTTAAGCCTGGGCGGCGAAGCCGAGTCTGGGGCCCTGGGAGTCGAAGACGACGTACTGGCTCTTCAGGAAGACATCACCCAGGATGGAGAGGCCGAGACCAGAGTTGCTCTGGATACCGCCAACGCAGGTGGAGCCGCCCTCCTGGAGAGGAGCGTAGTTGATGTGCTTTCCGGGGATGACGGCGTTGTAGGAGCCGATCACGACGGTGAACTCGGGGAGCTCAGTGTCGCAAGGGAAGACGTAGCCTCCAGCGGATGCGTCGTTCTTGGCGCCCTGAACCTGCTTGTAGTAGGCGTCGACGATTGCGTCATCGAGCATGACGAGGGTAGTACCGGTGTCTGGAGAGAGGGGTTAGTAGCTGTCCAGTCGTGATCGATCTGTGTTTGGATGGGGGACTCACCAGCAATACCGGTGATGGGGGCCTTCTGGGCGTCGCCCTTTCCGACAGAGTAACCGTCAGCAGTGAACTGCCAGAAACCCTGGGAGCTGTCCACATCGGCATAGGCGAGTTCACCGGTGAACTTGCTCTTGTCGATGTAGCCGAAGTCATAGGAGCCAGGAGCATGGTACTTCAGGGTCACGGCGAACAGGGGAGAGTCCAGCTGGCTCTTGACGGTGTCGAAGAACGTAGTCTGGGGCTTGGGCTTAACTGTAGCCCTTGTCAGCCAACACCAGTCATCGACGTTGTTCACATGAAGGATGCCTTACCAGTGTTGATCGAGCTGAAAGCGAGACCCAGAAGACCGTCGTTGTTCTTGTCCTCAACGAACTGCTGGCTGATCTTGCTGGCAGGCTCGACGGCCTGGCCCTGGGCAGTGACGCCACCCACGGTGACGGTATCTTTATAGACATCGCCGCTGGCACTGCTGCCGTCACCATAGCTGATGGACCAGCTAGCACCCTCGATCTTGGTGGCGTTACCGGAAGGCTTGTAGAGATCGTGGCCGGCCTGCTCGGACTTGGGGAGCTCCTCGGAGAAGACCCAGCTGGATTATGATTAGTCGAGCATTTTTTTTTAAGATGTGGAGAACCGGCTATCACTCACAGATCGGCAGAGCCAGTGTCAAAGTCGAGGTTCAGGGTCGTACCACCGACGTTGACAGGAGTCAAGTACTCAATGTCGTTGGGCTCGGGAGAAGTCACGACAGTACCGCTACCCGAGGCAACAGCGCTTTTGAGGTGTGAAGGCACAGTTCCGCCATACTTAGCAAGAGCCTTGCTGTAGATCGCGGGGAAGTTAAGGGTCTTGGGACCGACGCGAGAAGTCTGTCTGGTGATCTGGTTGATGGTGAATCCCCGGCGGGCATGGGGGGAATGAGAGGGACCAGTGGGCAACGCAGAGGCGACCGTGGAGAGGCCGACCGCGACGGCAGCGACTTTGCTCAAGACAACCATGGTGATTGCTCTCTAGGCGAAATGTCGAGAAGACAGAAAAGGAGCGAAAGACTGGATGTGAAAGAATGACAAGCACAAAGCCTAGATGAACTCAAGAATCTTGTTGGAGAGGATGAGAGAGTGATGGGCAAGTCAGGGCAGCTGGAGGGCGCTCCTTTATAGCTTTGTCTGCTCTGGTGGGCATCATGATGGTTGTGATGATAGTCAACGGACTCCGGTTCAGGGGAGCAGTCCACATCAGCAGCACTAGGCAGTGTTTCTCCTCTCGGTATGGAGCGACAAAGATCCTTGCCATCCAGTAAGCTTTCTTGGCCCAGTTACAAGCTCATCCACTGCAAAGTAAGAATGAGTTGAAAGGGTGTTGGCGCCAAGATCCTCATGGACGAGTGTCCCTGAATGGTGAGCTGATTAGGCGAGAGGAACAAGCACTCTGCCCCATGTCTAGACCCGGATGCTACGGCGGGAGTGGTCATTGCTTGTTTTGGACAAGACCTCTGGTCAGGTTCTGTTGATCGCCACCTCCATATCGCAGATTAATTGAGGTGGACGGATATCTCCGTTTGGTGGAAAGGACGACATCCATCATCCATTCGATATCGGTCCGGCGATCGCCATTGACCCGGGCTGGCGTAGTATTGGAGGAGGGGAAGGCGCAGGGGTACCAGGGTTGAGAAGGCCCAAGAGCAGTGAAGAAGATGATCCTGTCATCAATGCAATCAATCTATCTGGGGGCCTGTGAGGAGGGCCGGAGCAAGGCCGAACGATGATTGAAGGAAATGAAATTGAGAGGGGGAAAGAAAAGGACCCACGCTAGACCTCGACTTGGGGTGAATGTATGGGACTCGGGCTCTGAGTGGCTCCGTCCCTTATACTTCCCGACTAGCACTCGGCGTACGAGTCTTGAGTCGGGACTAGTCCTCATTAGCACGCCCCCGTCACATGGGGCGTGCCTGAGACACGAGGCCATCCAGCTCTCCTGATGGAGACGAACCGTCGGAGTCCTGAAGATCACCGTTGGTCCCTGAACCACCACCCTCTGCTATCTCCCTCGTCTACTACAATTCATTTCACTCATCACCGACCTTTTCTGTAATCTGCACATGAATGGAATGTTCTATCAACGTTTCCATGATCTCGGAATTACCAAATTGAAAAACATAAACTGAGACAGCCAATGATCCTGTTATATCAGACGCAAGGTGAGATTCTTGTCGCTGTACCCGCACCCGCCCTCAGCCTACCTCACTAAGCTCGAGCGATGTTACTCTGCCTGCGACCACTCGTCAGTTCCCCACCATCCTTATCAGAAAATACTCAGTTTCTCGATTTCTAAGGAAAGCAGAAAGTCTCCATGAACCAAGACACTGTTCTCTATAATCCAACCAGATTTCATCCTTTAATGACGAGGGTCAACGCCGTGCTGAATACGGGCAAATAACCGCGCCCGACTTGATTTTGGTCGCTCTCCACTTAGCATGCATATTCCGTTGAAGACGGGGCAAGCGGTTTGGGTGGACTGACAGGAAAGTCCCTAATGGTTAGGGCTGTCGATCGCCGACGGATTCGGTGATAAGCGGCTCAATAATCAACGAAATCAGTCCATGGCTCGCTGCCGGTACCTACCTTATCGGGGGTGCCTATGGACTGGGGTTGAGTTTATTACTGGGTAGTACTAACTATCCCAATTTGCCTATAACTCAATTATTCCAAGTTTTTGTAGACAGTCTCGGAAGCCGTGTCTGCCGCTCCGTTGAACCGAATGAACGGTATACTTACAGGAAAAACAGAGAAAGTAAGCCGTAAGTGGCCGTCGAGTGGTATGCTTTTACATATTCATGGTACTAAATATTTTGTATAGCCAGTCTTTCGCCTAGTGCGGCAAGGCTACTTAACGCACTTGGTAGCAGTGACATGCCATCCATATACCATTTTCAGCTAGCTTGGCGAAGTTAAGAACGACGCCGTCTCTTTTTTGGCTTCCGCCGTCATACTGCCCTCAGATAACGACTTCTGCAGGGACCGAATACCAAGAACAATGGCGAGATAATGCACAACCCTAGTAGACAATGACGAGCGCACTAGTTCTCCCGACAGTTCAAAATAAGAACTATTACTATTATCTAATAGCGGACCGCTTATCTCGGGAGAAGTTAGTCAGATGCTTGTCTAACAAGCTTCACAATCCAATGTATTCAGTCGAAGCTAGCAATCCTGCTCACTTCTGCATTACCTGAAAATCCTTACATACTGATAGCCTGATGGACGGACCGCCGACGGGAAGGATTCAGACTGGAAAATTCCTCACTCGGAGCTATTCTGGATTCGCTCCGCAGTGGCACCAATTGACTGTAATCGCTCGTCTTGGATCGGCAGTCCAGCATTAACGAACGTCTTATTGCTAAATCTCCACTGCGTGTCCATCTGTCTGTTTCAGAAGAGGGAATTAACCAGGCCCACTATCTGCTCGGTGGACGCTATGCATTCGGCCGGAATCTGACTCCATGCCTCGTAACTTAGCAGCCCGGTTTTGACAACCCACTATTGCTACAATTGACGAGGATTCCATCGTCCAAGAAAGGTGCTCTGTTATGGATCGCATGAATCCAACAACACAATGTCTTGATGTGGTGTAAATGGTGGCAAAATAGCCATGTTGACCCAGCGAGCGAACATGACATTATCAGCCACTTTGGAAGATCACTATTTCTCCAAGAGAAAGTAGGAGGTATAGATCACCCTGACCAGATTAACATGTATGAAGTTAACGTGAGGACAGAGTGGTAGCCCGTCCTCGCTCGTTGATTTGCTGGCGAGGGCTAGTCATACAATAAACAAGCAGGGTAAGCGGCATGCGAAGAAAAAAGCAACTGTAGATGAACCAAATTCAGGTCGACTAGATCGCTGCCATACAGTCTCAAATGCCTGTCCAACACTCTCATAGACGGTGACGTTCGCGAGGGCAAATATGCCATTCAGCTATGCGGCAATTTCCTCCCCGGTAGCAGGTTCGTCCACCACAACGATCTGCCAAACTTGGGTTGCAAGTGACTTGCAGACGGCAAGGCCTATGCCAGAAGCTATGGAAGATAACATTAGATAGGTCGTCCCAAGTCTACGCACAGCCTGGCATTCTGTCAAACTCACCACCACCGATGACTAGCACGCCTTTCGCCATACTTCTTTGGCATATCCAGAAATCTGCTTCTGACCAGATAGGTCATTGCTGCGTAGTTTGCGAACCGGTGATACAGTATGAGAGGCCAGGCGTCAATTTTTCAAATCAAACTTCGCCTCTCAATAATACCTGTCTCGCATCACATCTGAGCTTGGAGACCTCAATGTCTGATCCAATTCCAATCGCCCCAGCTGAAGAAGAGATAGAAGCCAACGTACATCAATCTAGCAAATGTAGAAAACGGTAGGTTTTACCAATGCATCTGAGGCTATAGTTGAACCCCGGGCATATCCCGTGGAAGGAGTTGGCAAGTGTCGGTATGAAACGCCTCAGATATATACACTTCCTCTGCGTTTCGTAACCGGGACGTCACCTCAACTTATATTTACCATCCCTGGAACACGAAACTCTGTAACAAGCAAATAGAAATCATGCAATCTTACCACAAGGAAGTGCCAAATTCACAATCCCAAGCCAGAAACATTTGAACAGATATCCTCCAGCAGTCTTTAAGAAAGCCAAACTAAAAACAAGAAAACGCCTCCCTTCCAAGGCATAAGTAAGCTTATCGTAAACAAGCTTAAACTCAATAACCGGAAGGCCCTCCTTGGCCAGACTCAAACTCCAAGATAACAAGGACCTCTCTTGCCAGATTAACCTTCGCTCCGGATAAAGGGATGCAAAAGAGGTGCTTCGGATAGACACCAAAAAAGTGCTCTATTGTCGAGTCGATCGTATGCTTTGTATTAGGGTGGTTCTGTGATGCCTGGGACTGATTATATATAATGTCATCTGAAAGGTTGGAAGGAACCCTTCGTCAGCCCTACAAGTTGCTAGTAGCTAAGATATGCGAATGACGTATAACAGGCCGCCGAGTATCTCGTACTAGTATATATATATAATCAATCCGAGTCCTTAGGGGGTAGGCTATGATATCAATCGCTTTGATCTGGGATATTTACTGCGCTATCGTGACCTTTTATTTTTCATTTTTCAAGATACGCAGAAGAATATATAAGTTAAGAGTGAAGTGTGGATTGTAAACCCGGGGGTGGGGGGGTTGTGAAATATATACCAGTACATGTACGAATCAGGGATATCTTGAAAGGCGCCAGAAGAAACCGAAATCGAGAACTTGAAAAGACAGACACTTACGGCTTAGCAACTCGTTTCAGCCTACTACTCCCTAATTTCGAGGGACAGCCTATAGTAATACACTCTCATCCAACTACGCTGCACAAGTGCCTTAGCGCTTACTATGAAGGCCCAAGAACTCCTGGCCTGGGTGGTTCCATGATCCATCACAACCTCGAAATCCCCGCCGTGGCCAATCTCATTCTAAAAGCTTCCGAAACCTCTGGTGGACGTTCCAGCGCAGGGTATGTCGATCGCTTGGGAAAACGCTCTTCCAATTCCTACGGTCCTCACCGGCAGACAAACGTCGCTCATGAGATGCAACACTCAAAATCCGAGTTTCACTACCTATCATCAAGCCCGCTGAGTCCCAAATTAATAGCCTCCGTTGTTGGTGGTGACGGGGGACTGGAGCAGCCGGACATATCTTTCAAAAACCCTAGTCTGGGAACAGTGGGCTCTGTTATCGCCTGTATGGCTCAAGAATCATCGAGGATCTAGAGCTAGATCTAGACACTAATGGAAGCCCGGCATATCCGCCCGGTATCAGGGGGAACTACCGTGATTCGCTACCTAGTATGAACCGGACCTGACTAAATAAGCGAATCACCCTAAACCTTTCCTAATTCAGACAGTTTGTGATCCCCTCGCTTTTTTCACCAGATCACGTCAACTTCCAAGTAATATTCATACGAAATCTTAGGACAGATACTCTATATACTATGATTTGGTTAACTAGATAGAAAAAATTCTACAGGAACAGACACTTTTCTAATTTCAAAAGAGAAAACAATAATAATACAATTCCAAGAAATAATATTCTAGATATCTCGATCTTGAATTTAATTTAATACTAAGTTGCCTGGATCTGGTACAATATAAAAAAGTGGGACTCAGGATCACAAACTGTATCATCTTGTCTGGATCAGGAAAGGTCAGATCGACTCGCTTAAACTAGTCAGATCCAGCTGAATCGACTTCTCTTTTGTATGCCGATGATTTCTTTCTTGACCTTCATTCCGACAACTTCTGGCAAGTGTTGGTTTCTTCGATAGACAACCAGTCGTTCCTTCATTCCTTCATTCCTTTTTTCTAGCTCTAGTCATTCCTTGAATCTTTCAGTTCTCAATATGCTCTTCAACAATCCCTCAACTGCCCTTGTGGGTGCATTGGGTTGCATATCGCTTTTGTCCCAGCATGTGCATGCTACGCATATTCCGTATCGTCACAGACATAGCCAACATATCCAACATAGCCCTGGAGGCTCCCATGATTCTGCTCTGTCAGTTGGCGCCTGTGCAGCCGCTACGACATCTGTAACCACGACGGTGACTGTGACTGTAAACGTCGATGCTACTTCAACAGTGCAGAACATCGTCGCTCCCACGGTTATCATCACTTCCGATGCTCCTGCAGCTACTTCCAGCTCCAGCTCCACCTTGACCTCTGTCATCGAGGTTTCCTCGCCTGAGTCTGAGTCTGATTCTGAGTCTGAGTTTGCATCTGTTTCTGCCTCTGTTCCTACCGTTACCTCTATCGTCGAGGTTTCCTCTGCGTCTGCGACTGCATCTGCATCTACCTCTGTCTCTACCTCTGCCTCTTCGTCAGGTAGCAGCACTTCAAAGGCAAAGGTCATGATCCCATACTATCTGTATCCGTCAACCGGCGCATGGACACCCCTGGAAGAACTGTAAGTCGATCTCCCACAAAGCCAATATCAGAGAAACTAACCGAACAGGATCCTTGCCAATCCCGATGTCCAGTTCACCATCATCATCAATCCCGATAATGGACCCGGCTCAAACACTCCCTCCGACACGAACTTCCTTACAGCAGTTCCCAGACTGGCCTCCTACAGCAATGCACTCGTCCTCGGCTATGTGAGCACTCAGAAGGGAACTCGAGACATCTCGGAAGTCGAACAGGACATCCAGACCTACGCCTCCTGGCCATCTGCCAGCGGAAAGTCCTCTTTCGCCGTGCATGGCATTTTCCTCGACGAAGCCGCCACGGATTACAGCGCCGAGACCGTCACCTACTACACGAACCTGGCTTCGACCATCAGACAAAGCACCGGACTGGGCCCTAACAACTACGTACGCTGAACCCCTTGCAATAATAGCATATTCATTCACTGACCGGTATATATAGATTGTCACAAACCCCGGCGCAGTGCCCGATGCATCCTACCTGGATATCCCTGATTCTACGGTCATCTTCGAGTCTGCATACAGTGAGTTCCAGTCCGCTTACTCCGCCAACGAATTCGAGAAGGTCAAGGGACTCGATCTGAGCCGTTTCGCTACCATGGTTTACGGCATCCCATCCGATACCGACCTTTCGACCTTGATTACGCAGCTGCGGAGTATCTCCAGCCATACCTACATGAGCAACCTCGACACGTACATGGCTTATGATTCTTTGTGGAGTACGGTGGTGTCTTTGTTGTCTGCTTAAGCCAGCCTGGGTGATGAAAGAAGACGATTGGTATTCTCCGCTCGTTTTCCACGTCTTCGTCCCCGGTCTGCGACACACCGTCATCCAATGTTGAGTTAACATACCTTACGATTATGGTCTTTAACGAAATCAAATTTGTCTTCATGGGAAAAATCGTTCCGTGGGGTTTAGAGTTTGAACTTCTGCTACTGAATTAAGTAGAATGTAAAACGGAATACACGTAAAGCTCCCTTCCAAAAAAGAAAGTATAAAAAATAAATAAATAAGAATAAGAAGCCCAGACCAAGAAAATTCCCCTAAAAAAGAAGTCTCCCGATACAGAAAGCCATCTAACCGTAATATTTCATTCAAAAGCACTTATTCTTACTATCTTCACCGGAGGCGAAAATGAGCAGCCGAGTATACCTATATCTAGCCGGTGATCAGCCACACTATAAAACTTCCAATGAATCACCCCGGACGTGGGTGAAGAAGAACACAGGCCATGCCAATTCAGCCTCTGGAAATATCAATATCAACAAAGATGCCCTTATACCGGCAGCCGAGTTCAGTTTTGCAATAACGCGGCCATCATTATCCCTAATTCCACGCTTTCCACCTATGAAAGTCTACCTTGTCACACTCTGTCAATATAAAACCAAAGCTTCTTTGCTTCTTTGCTTCTTCTTCTTCTTCTTCTTCTTCTTCTTCTTCTTCTTCTTCTTCTGGTATCTCCTCAGGCTCTTTCTGAATATAAAGTTGAAACAGCTCGCTCTGTCTCGCCTGCACTTTGTTAAAGTCAAGATGGGGCGGCACCCAGCCGCCATCATCATCTGAATGCAACAATTCCTGTGTGTATGCTTTAAGCTTGTGCCAACCCTTATACCGAGAAAGCTCAAGCCTGTGCCTTAGTAAGTCGTCCCCTGTAGTCTGGCACGGACAAGGTCCGGAGAGACCCATTTGGCGCCAGCTTTCGGAGATCTGGACTAGAGAATCACGGAGTGGGATTATCCCGTGCTTCCACGTGTTTTCGGTCAAGGAGAATAAGTCTCGTGAGACTGAGTCGACTTGAGTTAAAGCCAAGTATGACTCAAGGTGATTCTTAGCAAGTGCTGCTTCGTAGCAATTTGATAGCAGAGCTTGATCTCTCTCCGTTATCGCAAAAACTTTCTCGTCCGAGTCCATTTCATCAAAGTTTGGCGGTAGGTCCGGCTTAACAATCCCAGTCTCGTAATTTTCAGGGGGGCTAATGAAGGACGGCCATTGGACTTGCATAAGCGCAGGCATGATTGACACAAATTGCCAGTCTATTATGCCAACGATTCTCGTCGGGTCTTTGTTACAAACAAATATATTGCCCAAATGAAGGTCCCCATGCCACAGGGTTGGTCTAGAGAATCGCTGAATATTAGTATAGCCCACTAACTTCGGTATAATTTTCATAGCGGTTTCCAAAAGTTGAATATGTTCCAGGCGACCACCGAAATGGGGTCCACGAGGAACGAGAGTCGAGTGTTGCGCATGCGTAAGGCCTCGATTAGCCAGCGCAAGACACAGGTCAGAAAGACTCACCCCCTATGCGGATGCAAATGTTAGCCCGAGGCCAGCGATACAGAAGGCTCAGATATGTCAAACATGGGCCAGCATAATCTTGGTTGCCAAACTGTGGAAACCACGACGCATTATAGGCAGGGCCAATACAATAATCATCACTTATGGGGATGATTTGACTTCCGAGTTTAGCTGAATGACGGAAATACAAATTTCCATAACCAGGAAACTCTTATCGAAGCCAACTGACTCTCCAGCCGAACCAGATTTTGAATCAACTTGAACTGTTGCAGCTGGTTCATCTCACCCCATACATCAACCAACTGTCTACCGTTTACCTTCTCCATCACAATGTACTCTGACCCGACGGGATTCGAAGAATCAGAGTTCCATGCAAGGACTTTGGAAACCGGAACAGAGGTATGAGACCTTACTATCGAAACCCATCTGAATTAGCAGTGGAAACTCGAAAGAAACCACAAGAAGACCCCTACCATATTCCAAGGAAGCCGCTTCAGATGCAGTGCTATACTCCGCAGGCACAACGCTAGGACATGGTATCTTCGTAGTAACCTCGTTTCCATTTTCAGCTGTCATCAACAATGCTTTGTTGAAGCCACCCTCCAATTTATCAATTTTGGATATAGGTGAAGACACAGAGGGCAAAGACGAAACTAGAGTGCAGAGAGCGTCGAGATCAAATTTGGCATATCGCTTTGACAGTTCGTGCTTCTCATTGACTAGAAATCGTCCGTTCGTGTATTCGAAAAGTTGCTCATACTGGATAGGCTCTCCTAAGGGTGGGTATCAGTAGACAAAGGAATTACTGCGATATTAGGAGCATACCATGACTAGTCAAAGAGATATTCCTGGATATGGATTTTGGGGTTAGCGTGGCTTTTTTCAAAATGCCGCGTCGTATTCTGTACATGGCTGTTATTCAGCGCGAGACATCGAGAATTGGATGAAGATTGCATGGTTGCTTTTCTCCGTTTTAGGCCATGGCATGCCACTCACTGGACCTGACCGAAACCCGAACCCGCCAGTGTTGAGTTTTGAAACTAAAATCGTATCTGAATGTGGAAAATCTATATATATTAGATGAAATATAATATCTCAAAATAGATTTGAATTTTATTACTATTAAAGATGGAAATGAAAGAGGTCTTTTGGCCCCAATTTTACAGTTGTATTTCCCAAAAATTCACATTGACCACCTGTTCTACCAGAACAGCCTGAGACCGCGAAATCACTAGTATAGGAACTTTATATTGTCCTAAAATTGGAGTGGAATCTAATTAAAGTTGCATCGTCACTCTCACGCTAGGAATTATATTTAAAAATATAGCTGTATAGCCTCAATACCTGTTATTTTCAGAATGGATTTCACACATCCATAGATTTAATTGTAATAGTGGAGTTATGTTCTCAAGTGTACAATAAATGTAGGCAACAGGGATATCTTAAAAAGGTGAAAAATTGAAATCGAGAACCTGGAGAGACAGTAGCAGGAAACCCGGGCAAGAGATAGCCGTGTACCCAACACCGACTATGCTCCGCAGACCAGAATATGTAGCGTTGTATATAGCCTTGACTTATGCACAAGAACAACCTGCGAAATTTGTGCAATCGGACCCCGTATGAACAATATGATACCAGTACTCACCCCATCCCATATAAAAAACGGGGGCGAACGAAAACAACTAACGCCCCTCCCATCCTGGAACCCCAAAGCATATATGTGCAGTTCGAAATGGTTGTCTGTGACGATACAGACAGTGATCATAATTCTTGCGTGTCCAGGCCCCATATCTCGTAGCGTTTTACTATGTCCCAGGCCACTCGTCGCACCCGACGTCTCCATACACGGTTGTTATTCGTGATCGGTGTTGGCAGACAAGGGTTGAGTTCCGATATATCTATGGGGGTTTCACGCGACATTCCCTTCTTGGGTGGTGCTCCTAGGTTCAGGTCATGTTCCCGCCTTCGTTTGCCTAGCAACGACGGAGCCTGGCTTGTCCTCGGTGCTGGCCCTGTGGGTGGGGTTTGGGAGACCGGGGCTGGAGTCAAGATACAAGAGGCGGCTGTTCCGTCATCCCTCTGTGATAATCCATTCTGGTAAGGCTCTCGACATCCATTGACCTCCTCGCCCACTAGATCTGCTGGGGATTGCGATTGCGATTCAACGGTACGCTCAGGGGGAGGGACAGCGGGAATTGTATAGTAGTCCAAAAGCTCGAATGCTTTCCAGCCGAAACCGAAAAACCTCAGCTGACTGAATACCTGTGGATCCGCTAGAGATTCAGAGAACTTTTCAACTAGGATGTCATCATCAGCTTCCACGATATCTGCAAGAGATAGCGCGGATGTAAATACATCTTCCGCTGAACGTGATGATAAGAGCCCCAAGCTCGCTTTCGGTGGCCGTGGAGTCTGCGGCGACGACGTAGCACCGGTCGGGACTAGAAGGCGTACAGCGACCAGGTTACGGAGGAATGGGAGTAATAGCCCTAGTGTCTCCATGCTGGAGAATTCTGTTGCAAAAGCAAGCTGCTCAAGTTGCGGGCTAGAGTGAACAATACGTGCAATTGTATTTGATGAGAGCGGCCAGTAAGAAGGGAGCAAGAGATGCCGTAGAGTTGCGGCGTGGTTTATAATTATATTATTGAGGTAGGCATCACGGATACTGGCCTGCAATCCCGGAGAACAGGAAGGTGTATTTTCGGGAGTATAGGCTGGAGCACTGCCTGGGTTGTTGTGATTATGGTCCACAAAGGGTGGCGTGGGGGCCGGGTACTCCAAGTGTCTAGGTGATCTCATGTCGTTTGGATTGGGCGTTGCATTGACGAAATACAATCTTTCTAGTCCAGTGAAATTTCCTAGGAAGTCCGCATGCCTCCTATTGAAACGATCCTGTCTAATGCTCTTGATCCTGACGACATGAGGAGGGGCAATCGGCCAGGTACTGTCAACAAACGTATTCATGAAGTTGTAGTCGTCTGATTTAGTATCCGTAAGGATGGTGACATCTTCGACCATAGTCTGATCGAACGCAAGATTGAACTCTTCGGTATGAAGTGCGTACAAGTTCTGAAGCCCTATCTTCTTGACTCGAAGAGGTTGCTTTGCCGATATGCATTTGCGGAAGTAGTCATGGACCATAACGCTGGGCTCTTGCTCTTCTCTCATTCGAGGTGACCAGTGCATATTGAGTTCTTGCAACTTCTTACACTTCCAAAGGAGAGTTGAAATGTCGTCTGGGTAGCAAAGAGGGTCAATATCGGTGATTTTCAAGCGCCGTAGATGAGGCATCGCGGGTATGACGATCGTCGGTCGAGGGTGACGGCTCGAGGGAAATCGTATAGTCAGCGATGTCAGCTTAGGTTGTTGCGCCAGTCCGAGGTAGACAGTTTCCAGCATCTTGGTATTGAGCTCCCAGCTGAAGCTTTCCAACTCCTTCATCTTGTCGATGGCCGCCCGAACCACAATATTCAGCATCATGGAGGAATCTGTCACCCGACCAATGCGCGCATGCTCTTCCAGCTCTGACTCCCGCCAGTTTCCTCGGAGCGTCAGCGACCGAACTAGCGATGCGTACGGACGGGTGATAATGGCGTTAAGACCCATTGAGAAGGGGCTTGCGCTTCCCATCCCTTCCGGCTGATCCCCACGGTATCGGATCCTATCGTAGGACGTCAGGGTAATGCTCTTGTACAGCTGCGGGAGCGTCATGTAGTTGAGGACTCGACATGTTCGACACAGGCGAGCAAGGTCGCCGGGATCTTCCAACTGTAGGAATTAGGAGCTCTAAGTTAGCTTGATCGCTTGCGTATTTCGCAGATGGATCAAGTTAAACATACGTGGGAGATAATGAGCGCGATCAGATTCAACGGTAGAACCATCAACGACGCTCCGCGCGGCCGATCTGTTGTAACGCTGGCGTCAAACATATTCCGATTGACAGCCGCCATAGTGCGACGCCCAGAGGCGATGATGTCGCTGCATCGACTAGCGAGTGATTTGGATTAGGAGGGCGAGTGCACTGCGTTGTACAGCGTAAGGCATCGATCGATGACGGCAATCGGCGGAGGCGGAGAAATGTGAGTGGAGAGCCTTATTTTTTCTCTTGGGGTTTCCTCCTGAAGCTAACCCGCGCCGATCAGCACAAAGACCAGATTCCACAAAGAGACCCCGATTACCTCTCGAAAATTGCTTCCCCTCGATCGCAGGATCCTGTTATTCTTGGGCAAATATCTTTAGATTGGTTTGGAGAGCTTCAGGGATTCGATCCGTTTTCCTCAAGGACCTCCCGATATCTATTTCTATCTGTATGTTGTAAGGAAGTTTAGGCACAGTCTCCACGTCACCTGGCAGCCAGTGACTACCTAGTGGCCCGCATCAATAACTTATACGAGAATCTGTGTAGCTTAAAAGCGATACGACGCGGCTTGAGCAAATCAAGAAGTCAATCTGATATTTAAACTTAGTGATAAAGTACTAAACCCCTCGCCAAGCTAGATTTAATCTTGCAAGTATTTCGACCCGACTCTACGGAGAGGCTGTGTCAATCCAATCAAACGAATTCATATTAGTATGTACAGCTTATATAATGGTAGTAACTACAGTGAATTATCTTGATACGTAAATCCCATGGGTATCTTTTGTGCACCAAACCCCCCTTTCGCCACTGCATTAGAACCTTGCTCAAACCTTCGGAACGCAGTGTGTGGACCATAGACCCTTCCCACTTCCCGCATATGACCCCTAAGCCAGTGATCCCTGTGCCAGTCCCGATAAAGTGAAAAAGAGGAATACAAGAAAGAAGAAGATCAAGAAAAGTAAGGATCCCAGTAGATACATCCAGCGATACTCCCGCTAAATCAAGCATATATCAAAGATTAATGTAAAGACAAAGAAATTCGACGATTAAGGTCATCATGCATCGTCTAACTGGGACCGACAAATACGCGGTTCGCCAAAGAAGTGTGTTCCTAGAACATGAGCCTCGGATTCTCACCGAGGTCTAGAATTTTCAAGGGTGGCCTGACTGTCAGTCAGTGAATTGGTCGGCTGATGATGTTGTGGTGGTTGTAGCTGCTCGGGCGCAGATTGATCTAGTTCTTGAGTTTGGCGATGCCTTTCAGCAACGGAATGTCTTTCGGGGTCGACATATGTATCATAACGAGCGTTATCGGTCGACTGAGGATGAGATTGAGCTTCATCAGGTCCCACGAGCGCTGCCGCTTCGGGGTCATAACGTAACTCATAATTGCCATAGCCAAATTCTCCTTCGTTAGGCGTTGCCCAAGGTGCGGCTGTGCGAGCCTGTGGTTGTATCACCCTTACTGGCAAGTCAGCGCGATTTGGCCGGGGCTGCTGACCTGGGGATGGTTCAAGAAGACTGGACTCCGTGAACCACTCAGGCGACCACGTGTGCTGGCCTCGACGCCTTGCGGGGATAACCGTTACCGGCAAAGGGGTATCAGAACCTTGTCGTCCAGAGCCGGGCCTGGGTTTGCGATTGAGCGCGAATAAACGATTGACCACGGGTCGCGACGAATCCTGCTCGCTGGTCTCCCTGTGGTACAACTCATCTCCATCTCTACTAGGGTCATCCTGCTCCTCTGCTTGTGCTGAAGCAACTTCCCTAGGTAGAGACGCACGCCTGCGCCTGAAGGGGTTGAGTATAGTACGCCATCGGTCGTCCACGTTGATGATCTGGGGCGACTCTTCCCTGGTATGCTCCGCTGAGCTGTGCTCACGAGCCGAATTTGATCGATGCTCCTCTACAGCGGTATCCAATTCCTTGGTGGCCACATCGCCATAGTCGTCGGGTTCATTTTCTTCCTCCATATGCGGCATGGCGACCGGCGGTGTAGGGCTGGAGACAGGATGATAATGTACATTGTACACAGTACTGGCAGCGCTCGTAGTGTCCGCCCGGCTGACAGGTGTGGCAGCAGCGGGTGGCGGAGTAGGCCGGGCTGTTCCCCGGTGGCGGGGGTCATTGGGAATGGCAGAGTTTTGTGCGTCAGCACGAGTTTGCCGGTTACGGCCCCCAGGATGACCGACTCGAGTGCGCAATGGGCGCTGAGCCAGCCCCATCATTCCTCCCCATCCCGAAGATGTGCCTGTGCCTCCTCCCCTATCGTTTCTAGTGTTCTGGCGAGGCCAGTCGACCTCTTCAGAAGGAGTCACTTCAAGCATTTCATCACCATCGAAAATTTCCCTGCCGAGAATACCATCTTTCCTTTCATCTCGTTCTAAAGCTTCGATGCGTTCTACCCACTCCCAAACCACAACACTAGCCGCCGCTGATCCAACCCACCTGATGTATGTACCCCAGCCAGCGACTTCAGGTTTTGCGATGTCCAAAACGAAAAACACAACTGGTATTAGAACCGCACACAAGGATAAAAGGGCCACTAGGCAGATGTTCCTCATCTTTGGGTGAAAGAACGCGAACCGATGTTTGGATAGCGAGTAGAAAATGACCCATGCCGCATAAAGCAAATTAAGTGCAAGCTCGAAAAGATAACTGAGCGCGGGTATTGCATCTTCATATAATCGAGGTCGTGTAGTGTTGCTCTGAACCAGGAATTTATCTAAAATACTGAAAATCGTGTCCAACACAATCAAGGCGAAACCAGCCCATTTAATCATAACCTTCTCTTTATGTCGAGGGAAGAGTCGAATCAGGGTTTGAACCTGGGCAAGCCAGAGAAAAGTGCTCGAGATAACTCTGATAACGCGGATTTCCATGCCGTCGATGACCTGCGAGGCAAGCGCATCGGCATCAGAGTAGCCGTGTATATACTGGTCCTCGGCCACCTTGAATGAATCGGCAGTCGCAATTGTCAACGATATAGCAACAAGTAGTGCAGCCACTTTCTGCAGCCATGGCCGGCCGCCAACTCCCACCACCGAGGAATTACCGCTGTAGGAGCCACTGATCATGCCATGGCGACCTAGGAAGTTGGCCCCACCACCAGGACCACCAACATAAAACGTGCGTGGTGTTATAAGAAGAATAATGACGAGAAGGTAGCTAACTACAGTTGCGCAGCCGATGGCATATAATTGCGGAGTCACCGAAGCGTAAAAGGGGTCACGGGTATCGAGCATTGGAGATGGACCTCTGGACGCGGTCGCTGTACTCGTGCAGACTGGCTCGAAAACTGCATTTTCTGATAGAGCTATCGAGTAGGAGAGATTGAGATAAATGTAACCTAGAAAAGGTCACAGGCAGTCATGTTAGCCAGCTTTCGAGACCCGACAGCGCAGGCAACCAAATTCTTGCCCGGAAGTGACATCGCGTAGAACCACATCTTCATTTGCAGCATACCTTCACTAGGGAGCACGAATGGAGTACATCCGGGGTGGTAAGTCTTCGTAGAAGACGTCGTCGGCTGTGCCCATATCTGACGAGGGGCTAGACGAACGTCATCCCCCATGGTCGAACGATCAATCTGAGCAGATAGACCACGCGGTTGTAGTCACTCATATATGCCACAGAACCATCCGAGGTATCCTCACCATTTCCAGCCGAGGAAGCGTTCAGAATAGCTCTCAAACCTCCATTGGTCCCGCGTGTTCAACCGAGAAGTTGGTGACTAGATGCCGAAGATCGGAACGGAAAGTGACAGAAAAGGCGCGACGGCGAGGACCAAAAGAGTCGAGTACACCGATACAATCAAAGCTGTATATGCAGATAAATCGAACGAAGCGATACAAATTGTTGAAGCAGTAACTGGCTGGGATAGATGCAAGCGAGGGTCGGAGTCGGATAGTGGTACATTTTCTATGCGATTAACTCCGTAACGCTGAGCGCCATAAGGATCCGCCACTGCGGTCCAGATTTCAGTCATTGGCGTCACCGCCTAACAAAGGCGTAGATGATCAGCCGATCACGTTCTGCCCGCATTTTCAAGAATTTAGTTTCTTTGAAACTTTCAATCTTTCCTAAGAGTTGAATCTACATTGCGTCGTCCATCCTCTATATACAGGCTGTCTGAGAGTTGTATATACGCAAATTTCCAGACTCTCGAATTTTAAGAGCCCAGCGTCACACCGAAGCGAACTGACCGCTGTATGCAAGGGAATTGTTCAAAAGCAACGCCAAGACCCCTCATGGACAAAAAAAAGTGAATTATTATGAATCATTGACGCAAATCCGGCCTGAAGTTTTGTATAAAACAAAAAATTAATTTTAGTAGAAGTGTGCTGGGTATATAGCGAAGATGGTGAATGCTCATAAATGCAAATAGGCGATGTGTCTCGACGGAGACCGCCGTTTATATCCGAGTCAGAGGGTTAACATCTCGTCCACGCCTCACGATAATTGCGATATCAAAGATTATCTCACTTATCTTGACAAAGGACCGTATGTCATCTGCGGGGGAGCCAAGTATGGCGATACAAGGATTGATCCTGTAGCCCTGGCTGCATTCGCACGCTCTTCCTCACGTGTCTTGATTTCTTTTTCATCCTGTATGAGAGTGCAGCATGTGCAACAGGTCGCTCTAACACAATCTGATGCAATGTCTCCTCGGATACCATACGCTTTGCGGATTCGTCTATGTTGGATTGTCGCCATGAGCCCTATAGAAACTGTCAACGCCCAGTGCCGAGACCACGGGATAGTAATGCTCACATTGACAGCCACATAAGAGAGCCATCGCTGTACATGACCCATTACATGTTTCATGACCTAACAAGTTTGTCGGGTCTTCTTTCCTTGACATCTGTGAAAGACGATACTGCGTCTTCCCATATAATACACAAGGGCACACGATGCCAAGGCAACAGGTCCAAACGTTTGAACAATCGCACATGCCATGACTCCATGTTCCACCTATTATCTGTTGATTAGGGTGCGATACCTGGCCTGGCCGATGGTAGGCTGCAACTTCGTCTGCCAATGGCGTGTAGGATGTCCCTGAGGCCTTCGGTGGCCCAGGAAAGTAGGGTACTTGTGGAGACTGCAGGGGATTCGTGTCCGGTACAATAGCCATAGTTTGCAGCCGGGTTACTTGCGCTGGGGTTTCTGGATAGGTCTTGGCCGGAAGTGGTCCAGGGGAGTTTGGAGGCGGCACCGCATACGAGTAGTCCGGCACCACTGCATCGTGTTGCTGGACCGGCTGAGGCACCACGTCGGCAAAGGGGGCAGAGATGGCAGGGTGCTCTTCAGAATTTGGCCCTCCTGGGTGACCAGGAGACATCATTTCTTGCCGCACATACTGTGCCTTCTCATTCAATGGTGGTAGGCGTTGTGGTTGTCCTTGCTCTGCTGCAGCCTGTGCGGGTATAGGATCAGACTTGGATCCTGCTATTGATTGCGACGGCAGTGGTTCTTGCTGCTGTTGACCATTTCGTAATCCAGAAGCATGCATTTCAAGTGGCGTCTCAATGAAGGAATATCGCTGACTGTCTCCAACGGAGGTATCCAAGCGTAGCTGCCTGTGCATCTTGGCAAGATGTGTTCGGTTATGGGAACTGTTGTGAAGTCCGAAAGCCTCAGTATACAAAATCGGGTCACTCCGTGCAAGTCAAATTTGCAAAAGGGCTTTGCAAAAAGTTTCTCTGATGATAGAGATTGTTGCGGCTAATCAGGTCCCTTCGCACTCATTGAAGCAGTCCTTTGAAAAGATCTACATCTACGTATGGGTGAAACATGTGCAAGTCCTGGATCCTGATCGGATTGGACGACATACAAATTAGAGAGGTTGGGTTAATTGAAAGTAAGAAGACGTTCAAAGGAAAAGTTAGGAAAAGTGACAATAATCAAGGAGGCAGGCAGTAATTAAGTGTAACCTTTCGGTCTTGCTGCGGTGGAGAGAAAGCGCTCGCCATTGTGGTGCTGCGGGGAGACAAGCATCCGAATCGCCAGAAGCTCGAATAGAGCATGAGAGGGGCAGGCGTTGCGCCCGACCCCTGCTCGGATGTGCTTTCGTGCTGCATGCTCTCACGCCAGTAGGGATTATTGTTGGTCTGGCGGTAGTTCGGAACCTACCGTTGGACTGTCACTACTTCTCGTCACATCGCCGGCCCCGGCGCATCACGCTTTATGTTCCAATGATATTAAAGGAAAAGCATAACTACTGCCTGGTACGCGCAATAGGACAGTTCCACAGTGCCAACAGGCGTCTACGAAATTTCTTACCCAAGAAGAAAGAAACAGAAGGCGAAAAGTAAAGTAAAAAGAAGAATGGGTCAGCTGAAAGAAAATAAGAGATAATAGAATAAGTCTGCAATACACATGTGTTTTTTACCTTCAATTCAAAAGGAGCCTCTAATAGAAATTCATGACTATTGAACTTAAGCTTGATTATTTAGCAGAAAGCTATAACTAGTAACTACCAATCATCGAACGCAAAGAAAAGCTACACTGGACTGGAAGGCTCGCAAACAAACTTGGACTAGTATCGTTCTTTGGAATAGATATACTGGGCAGCTTCCCCGCTGCGCACCGTAATAATAGCAAATGGCTTTATCCAAAACAGCATAGCCAAAACATTCGAATTAAAGGCTAGCTTGGCTCATACTCAGTAATATACTTTATCAAATTTGTAATTGTCCAAAAAAAAAAAAAAAAAAGGGCGCTGAGGTTGATTCAAATGGCTTCAACAGCTGCGCCTAATCCTTTATCCACGTTATCTCCGAAGAGACCAGGTCGCCTGTTCCCTGGTCTCTAAAAGTATCGATACCTGAGTTCTGTATGCATTCGTACCTCTGAAGAAGCCCTGTTAGCATCAATTCACTACATCCACTAGCTACCTCTCGGGTTCCTCTTGTTTAAATTCCGCATTATAACCAAGATGTAATCTACTTGCTTAGCATATGAATACCGTTCTGATCATATAATAGTGAAATCAAGCACTGATAATCTGCATAGCTAGTCTATCTTAGAAAGATAGATGTGGCTACCGGACCAGGAACAACAAAGCAGCAGAGCAGAACAGCCTCTGAGATGGCATAGATCGGCATGCTGGCCGGTTCATCGCAGACCTTATCTTCCAGTCAACTATGGATAAGTTGCGCTATAACTAGTACGTATGCAACAAAACACTATCCATACTTACTCCATAGGCTGTACAAACCATGATGTGTGGACGTTACTTGTTACTTTCCCTTTCGCCGTCATGTCAAGTGTGTCGGAACTTGTCAACTGCTTGGATGACATCACTTTGTAAGGACTGAATAGACTACTCTAGTCAGTATATATTGTATGATGGTGCTATTGCATCTCCGTCAAATTGTAGCTCTGTAACCATGAAAACAGTATAGTAACAGTTGACTTGGCCATGCACTCTACCGACGGCTTTAGGAGTTTACTGGACTGAGCTTTAGAGGAAAAACTCCCTGCCTCGCTAGCAACATATTATAAGATGTAATGCGAGGTCTGAAGTAGCCATTAAATTGTCCAGTTGTACATATCCCGACACTGAGTCTCACGGCAAACAAGTATGGGATATAAATATATTTGATCCTAACTCGTATAACCTGTCTGCGTTAGGACAGTCCCTGGGTTAGCCACGGTCCAAAGAGAAGTGCATTTAGAGCCAATAGGGCTTAATAGGTTTGTGTAATGCGCTGAAATCGCTTGGATCGCTATGAAGCTCGGGTTGATTATCATTGGAAGTTCAATATGGTGGCTGTTATTCAAACCCTGGTCGAGGTGGAGAACAGCTTCCAGAGGTGATTTTTTCGGTGTATATTTGAGATAGAGCAGAGCTCGTTACCTATATCAAGCGCATGACTCGGCCGATCATGGAGAATAGCTGGCGAGTCGATCTGAACTCTGCAGATCAATGAGTCAGAGAAACAAGAACTAGCAACTATTTTTGATATTATCTGCTTTGTCGAATATGGTAGGACGATTACCTGAGGTATATACAGAGTAGACAAACGAAAGTTTGTCCATGGCGGAGGCTCAGCAATCCATGACGCAGAACGAAAATAAACCAAATGTGCCACCTCCCTCAAAGCATGGTTGCGTTTACCTTAAGAGTTAGTCATGGTCAACAGGGTTAAGTAGCCGATGTGAGAACTGAGTTGAGGTCAATGAATTGTCTTACTCGGTATATGCAATGTGACTGTTCATTACTGTCAGCGGGCTCCTGCGGAATTGGCGAGGAACTTATCGCATAAACGTCACAGTTGCCCAGCTTTGAAAATGAACTGAAGTCGTGACTATATATCCATTTGTCTATACGTTACGGAGAAAGTATTGCTGCTGTATTTCTGACTCACGTACCAAGACATACTTAGCCTATTCCTACCCAGTGTTGACTGATCTATAGCTCCTTGAAAGCACTTTGTTTTCTTGCTCGCAAGCTCACCTCGGAGCGATGAAAAATATGGCCATTCAATTTGTTGTAATGAGCGAGGATACTATTCTGATCCTATTGAGAGCACCTGTTGAGAACAGGAACGGGTATTATGTTTGGTATAAAGCCAGGTCAATGATTAGCTAGAACATTAGACCTATGGGCAATAATGCCGACGAGTCCAATTTCGAGGTAGGTTAGGTGATACAAGGGGAAGTATCCGTCATACTGGTGTTCTATACCACTGCCCGATAGAACTAACTGCTGTGTGGCCAATGGGTTAATATATGATACAAATTGATAGATCCACTCTGAATGATGAAATCCTAATATTCAGCCAGCAGGATACGGTGTCAGGTGATCGATCTTTTCAGAACCATGGTTGGAGTCTGTAGACCTCGGTTGGCTTTATGTTTTTTGACACATACTTCGAGATTCCTCCCACGGGTTTTTCTGGTTCCGCTGGTCTCTTGATAGACTAACATTCCAGTTGTTGGATAATTCACCGGCAAAGCTGGACATAGGGGACTACTTCCAAAAGCGTTGATATCCCGAAGAATGATTCGAATCCACAGTAAGTGAATGATAGGATCACGTGGAAGGGTTTCGCTCAGCTGGTGGGATTCCTTTTACTTTTGGATTTGGTAATGGAAAGCTCAATGACTGGAGAACCAAGGCTTTGAGTTTTACTCTCGGAAAACGGTCCGTTAAAGACCAAGAAAGCCGTGTCACTGAGGAAGCCGTCTGGGCGTTGGGCTCTGACAAATATGGTAGGGTTCCCCTTTCTTGCACATCACGGATGATCATCCACGGAGTCAGCCATGTCCTACCGAGGCGCAGGTAAACGGCATCGTATTGGTCAATTTCTAGATGTGGTGCTACTCGCCGGAAGCCTTGAAGGTACCCCCTAAGGTATAAGACCTTGGCATAGAGTTATGTTGGGAACTCAACCAAGTGGTCTGCCTGAAAGGAAAAGCGGGAGAAACGGGGGAAACTCCGGCTGCAAGGAGGAAGGAGTCGACCAGGATGGTATGTCTAGTTCCGTGGTATATAGATAAGCCGGTGAACCCAAGAGTTTCAAGAAATGTTGATGCCTTATCATCCGTATGCCGGAAGGTACCATGGCCAAGCAAGTCGATCACGTTGCTCGATGATTGGCAGGTTGGGGCTAATCCGATCATGTGGGATGTGGAGATGAAGCGGAATGGAAGGAATGGAGATGGAATATCACCCATTATCACCGTTACGTTACGGATAGTAATCGGAATATTTAGATTCTAAGGGGCGGTTCGTTGAATGACGAGTGAAGTAATTTCATGAGTCTCGTGGGTGACCGCAAGTTTGAGTATTGAGACTTAATTGCTACCTATACCGACCCTAGCACGCAAGGTGTCCAATGGAAGCTGCGTGGAACTTTGAGGGTCTTAATTATTTGCCCAAGAGCAAAATTCAAGGGAACCCCTTTTAAGTTATACGAGTCATCCTTAGAATTATTGTTGATTTGATGGGGTCTGCATTCCGAGATCTCCGATCCTCTGGAGCGACGTTTGGTTCGTCGTCAAGATTTGATTTTCCCTATATCATATGCAAAGGGATGTACCCAAATCATGTACGCAAATAAAATGTTTCATTCCAAAGCCTAGAAGAAAACTGAACACATAATGATGATTGCCGAACATTGTGGTATCTGAACCGTGATATTCTAACGAGGGCCGTTGAAGCTACTAGTATTAGCAAGACTATCTGAAGTAACTAGACTAGACTAGGAGTACTATCGGGCCTGGATGATAGCCCGTACTAGTACAGTAATACCCCAGAGAAGTGGCGTATCCACAGAAGTTTCCAATAGCTTGGGTATCCTTACTGCCTGGGACTGGATGGGAATCAGATTACCCGGAACAGTATGGAACAGATGACCACCCCTTCTGTTTTGGGGGAATGTCCCCATTCTTCTTACTACTGCCATGACCAGTGATTGGTTCTTTCTCCATTTCCTCAGTCCCCAGTGCAGGTGGGAACAAGAGATGTCCCCTTCGGTGACTTCATGATCATTTTTCTTTTTTGTCTCCAGTTCCATATTCTTCTGCTGTCCTTTCCAGATCCCCTATAGTTCAATTTCTTTATTTTCTCCCAATTCT